TGTAACAGCAAAGCTGCCTTGGGTTCAAATGACCCGCCCATTTGGTTATTTTCTGTCACTTTCTCTGTTGGGATTTCCTCTTTTTATTCATTGTGAGTACATTTTCTTTGTTTTCCCTGAGAGCATGGTTACAGTTGCTGAATCGAAATCTTTGTGTGTTAATTTCAACATCAGGTTCTCTTAGGGCCAGTATTCCTTCATTAGTTCTTTTCTTCTTGAGTTTTCCTGTTTCTTATTTTGAATAATTTTGGATTGTATCCTGGACATTGCGAATGGGACATTGTAGAGACTCAATTCTGTTGTTTTCTGAGGAGTATTGATTCTGTGGCGAGGGGGTTTGTTAGGTGGGCAGTTAATTCATCTGACTGAAACTCCAGCTCTGCCTCTCTTACAGGGACACAAGGCCTGTGATAGTTTATTTTTATTTTTTTATCCTCACGTGAGGACATTTTTCAATATTTTGTTCAGATAGAGTGGGAGGGAGGGAGAGAGAGAGAGAAACATTGATGTGAAAGGGACACATTGAGTGGTTGCCACCCACACGACCCAATCAGGGCTGGGGACAAACTGCAACCGAGGTATGTGCCCTTAGCGGCAACCAAACCTGGGTCTCTCCAGACTGCAGGCCAACGCTCTAACTGCTGAGCCAAACTGGCCAGGGCTAGGTTTACTTTTTTAGCTTTGAGTGGGTTGTGTGGAATGTACCCATGCATTCATAGTTTTGGGGTTGGCCAGAGATTTGGGTGATTTTCTATTCAGAATGTGGGAACCACTCCCATCTCTCTTTTCTTTGGCATTTTTTTTCTCACTTTTTAGTGGCTGTGTTCACCCCAAACTCTGCTGTGGTTCTTAAAGCCAGTTGGACGCAGGTCTCCTCTCTTAATCTTAGTTTCTCTACATGACACTCAAGATAAAAGCTACAGAGAACAGGACATTTCCAAGTGCTGTTGCTTGTTCTCCAGTGTGTTTGGATAATTGCTTAACTGTTGAACAGTATTGGTAGGGAGCTTGGTCTGATGGGAGCTGCTTAGACATTACTGTAAGTGGACCGACATTACTGTAAATGGACCATGCCCAGCCCTCCTGAAAGCTGCCATAGGCAGATGGACCAGGACCACATTGTATGTCATCAGCCAGTGACTATTTGGGTTGTTTCTTCTTTGGGGCTATCACAAGTTGTACATTTGGGTGCCAGTATGTGTTTGAGCACCTTTGGGAGTGGGCACTGTATTCTCTCTTTTGAGGAGCTGCACTGTCTTCTATAGTGGCTACACTGTTCACTGCCCCCCCCCCCCATCCACTGTGTATGACCAATTTCTCCTACACTTGTGATTGTCTTCTTGTTCTTTCCCTTTTTTTTTTTTTTTTTTTTTTAATCCTCATCCGAGGACATTTTTCCATTTTTTGTACAGACAGAGTAGGAGGGAGAGAGAGGAAGAGAGAGAGAGGGAAACATCGATGTGAAAGGGACACATCGAGTGGCTGCCACCCTCACGACCAACCAGGGCCGGGGACAAACTGCAACCGAGGTACGTGCCCTTAGCGGGAACCGAACCCGGGTCTTTCCGGACCTCAGGTGGACGCTCTAACCGCTGAGCCAAACAGGCCAGGGCTTGTTCTTTCCCTTTTAAATCATTAATAGTCACGATCCAGGGGGCAGGAAGGGGTCATTCATGCACAGGGACAGGAGCTGAGGTCTCCTAAGCAGGATTTAGTAATCTGAAGCCTGTTGGAAGGATATGGTGACAGTTGTTCCATTGTACCTACTCTTGATCATAAAATATTCATAAAACATTGTGTGGCTGAGGGCACTAGAGCAGTTCTTTTCCCTGTGAGACTGCTGGGTGGCTGAGGGTCTCAGGGTGTGGTCTAGGGTGGCATGTGAATGGCAGGTGTCACTTGGCCACCCTTGAAGAGCTGAGCCTGGAGTGCTCAAGGTAGCAGGAACCCGCTGCTTGCTATTGCTTTGCATTACTGTCGCTTTCGTCTCTGGGAGGCAGGTTCTCTAGATAGTGCAGCAGGGAAACATGGACTCCCGCCACCAGCTGGACTACTATTGTTGTTATTGGTCAAATAACTGAGGGAGGCTCTTCATGCTTCATGGAATGCTGGACAAACTCATTCTGAGCCCCATGGTGACCGCTCCTTGCCTCGCAGCAGGTTTCAGTTCTGTTTGGGGCTGCCATGGTATGTCTCCTGGGAGTGATAGGAGGCTTGTGCCCTGCTGCTCCCAGAGGGCACATCAGTTGCTTTGGACCTCATGGATTAGTATTGCTTCAGGTCTAACCTTTTTGAATGGTGTTTTAGGAGATGTGCTGAGTTAGCAAGGAAACCCAAGGGACTTGAAAACATACGTGCACACAAACACCTGTACAGAAATGACCATAATAGCACTATTCACAAGAGCCAAAAAGTGAGAAAGATCCAAGTGTCCAAAGGGAAATGGGATAGACACAGTGGGATCTTTATGCACATGGTGGAACCTAAATGAAGCATTGATGATGCTTTTTGCAGCTTGAGTGATCCTTGACACGTGTTCAGAGAGAGGCAAGGGAGCCACCCACAGAGATGCTTAGTCAAGCTTGTGCCACTTTAGGAGAGGCTGCCTGGGTGACATACTCAGAGAAAAGGCACTGGGGAGCTTGTTGGGAAGGAGCTGTCTGGGTGTGGTTGGTACCCCGTGCCCTGGGGGCAACCAGGTGCCTGGGGCCCCAAGGGCAAGAGAGTCTTCTCACAGAAGGATCTTCCCCCAGACCTCCCCCATCCTGGCTCCCCATGCCTAGTCACAGCCCCCAGTGCCAACACAATCTGGCTTGCCTGTACTTTGTGCACCTAGACACTGTTTCTGGGTAGCCACAGGGCCCAGCCCTTCCCCTCACCAACCATCTTTCCCCACTCCCCTGGTCTCCCTGCCCTCCGGAGGATGGTGAAGGAATCACAGGCATATTATTTTTTTAATTGAATTTAGAAGGAAGGGGGAGGAGAGAGAGAAACATTGATGCAAGAGATGCATTAATCAGCTAGCCTCCCACCCCTGCACTCGCTCCAACTGAACCACACTAGCCAGTGCGAATCACAGGCATCTTATGACATTGAAATGGCTTTTTAGAAGCTGGCCAGATAGGTCAGTTGGTTAGAGCATTTTCCTGATATGTGGGTTCAGTCGCGGTTGGGCACATATAAGAAGAAACCAATGAATTAATAAAGTGGAACAACAAATCGATACTTTTTTAATAATTCTCACCTGAGGATATTTTTCCATTTATCTTCAGATAGAGTTGGGTGGGGGGGGAGAAACATTGATGTGAGAGAGACACATCGATTGGTTGCCTCTTGCATGCCCAGACCAGGGCTGGGGACCAAACCACAACTGAGGTACATGCCCTTGAGTGGAATTGAACCCGAGACTCTCTGGTCCATGGGCTGATGCTCTTTAACGGTTGAGCTAAACAGGCCAGGGCCAAATCGATATTTCTTCGTCTCTTATCCCCTTCTTCCTCTCTCTCCCCCTCCCCCTTTCTCTCTCTCTCAAATTGGTAAATTAGTCCAGCTGGTGTGGCTCAGTGGTTGAACTTCGACCCATGCACCAAGAGGTCCCCGTTTGATTCCTGGTCAAGAAGAAAAAAAAATTTAAATCGGTAAATTAAAAGAAAATTGTAGAAATCCAGCCAGAGTGGCTCAGTTGGTTAAGTATCATCTCGTGCACCAAAAGGTTGCCATTTCAACCCTGGCCAGTTTGCTCAGTGGTTAGAGCATCGGCCAGTGGACCAGAGAGACCCAGGTTTGGTTCCCACTAAGGGCACGTACCTCGGTTGCAGTTTGTCCCCAGCCCTGGTTGGGGTCATATGGGTGGCAACCAGTCGATGTGTCTCTCACATTGATGCTTCTCTCTCTCTCTCTCTCCCTCTCCCTCTCCTGTCCTCCCTCTCTCCCTCCCACTCTATCTGAAGATAAATGCAAAAATGTTCTCAGGTGAGGATTTAAAAAAAAAAGGTTGCCATTTCAATTACCAGTCAGGGCACTTTGGAAGGCAACCAATCACTGTTTCTCTTTTACATCATTGTCCCCCCCATCCCACTCCCACTCCTTCCTCTCTCTAAGCATGTCCTCTGGTAAGGATTAAAAAAAAGTTTTGTGCCCAGGCCGATTTGGTTTGGCTCAGCGGTTGGATCATCAGCCCATGGACCAGAGTCCCGGGTTCGGTTCCTGCTGAGGGCACATACCTCCGTTGCCGTTTGTCCCTGCCCCAGTTGGGGTTGTGTGGGTGGCAACCACTCAATATGTCTGTCTCGCGTGGATGTTTCTCTCTCTTCCTTCCTCTCTCCCTCCCACTCTATCTGAAGATGGATGCAAACATGTTCTCGGGTGAGGATTTTAAAAAAAAGTTTTAATTTTTTTATTTTATTTATTTATTTTTTTATATCCTCACCCGAGGATATTTTTCCATTTTTTGTACAGATAGAGTGGGAGGGAAAGAGAGGAAGGGAGAGAGAGAGAGAGAGAGAGAGAAACATCGATGTGAAGGGACACATCGAGTGGCTACCACCCGCACAACCAACCAGGGCCGGGGACAAACTGCAACCGAAGTACATGCCCTTAGCGGGAACCGAACCCGGGTCTCTCCGGACCGCAGGCCGACGCTCTAACCGCTGAGCCAAACTGGCCAGGGCTAATTTTTTTAAAGAAATGCATTTTTAAGTGACAGCTTTAGTAGATGTAGAGTTCAGTTGTGTTTTAGTATATCACAGCCTTGCCACCATCACACAGTCAATTTTAGGACATTTTATCATCCCAAAAAGTAATCATCCCCATCCTATTCCTTAGCCCCTGACAACCAAGAATCTACTTCCTGTCTCTGGATTTGCCTGTTCTGAACTTATCATATAAATGAAATCAAACACTACATGGCTTTTTGTTTTGGGTCTGGCTTTTTTCTGAAATAATTATTCTTAACTGTTTTAATCAGGCACTCATTATTTCTTAATTTTTTTTTCTTTTAGGCAAAATATATCTCTCAGTGCATTGATGAAATCAAGCAAGAGCTGAAGCAGGACAACATCGCAGTCAAAGCAAACGCCGTCTGCAAGCTGACGTATGTGAGTGCTTAGGCGGTGCTTCCGCATAGTGCCCTTGTCCTGCACATGTGTGCTGTTATTAACTCCGGCATCAATCCATCCTTCCATTGGTCTGTCGTTTGTTCACCTGCCAAATGTTGATTGGCGCCATCAGCTCCAGGCACTGGTCTTGGTCACACAGGGCTAATTCTTAAGAGTCAAGGGAGAGGTGAGCAATGATTATCAGGTGGCACAGAGCATGGTGGAACCCCCAACCCAGCTGGCCCAGGGTTCAGTGGGGCCCTTACTCTCAGCTCCCCTTTGGACTGTACTGAGGAGTCTGGTGGGTGGAGCTCTGAACTGGGCCAGGCACACCCAACCCCTCTTGGTCAGAGAAGGGAGATGTGGGATTTGCAGGGGCGGGGGTCCCATTGCATCATAGGTTTCATGAATGTAAAATTGTAGGGAATTTTTTTTTTTTTTTTTATCCTCACCCGAGGACATCTTTCCATTTTTTGTTCAGATAGAGCGGGAGGGAGAGAGAGAGAGAAACATCGATGTGAAGGGACACATCGAGTGGCTGCCACCTGCACGACCAACCAGGGCCGGGGACAAACTGCAACCGAGGCACACGCCCTTAGCGGGAACCGAACCCGGGTCTCTCTGTACTGCAGGTGGACGCTCCAACCGCTGAGCCAAACCTGCCAGGGCTAAAATTGTAGGGAATTTTAACCAGTACACAGGATGCTAGGATTTCAGTTGCAGATATTCATCATCCTGTAATGTTTGTTACTAATCCGTCCCTATAGTCTTCATTGTGAAGACTAACTGGTCAGAAGAATTGAAATGCCCAGGGTTGTGTGTTGAGTAAGCATATGTATTCAGAGTGTGAGTGGCATGTGTCCTTCTATGAGTTGGTATACTGAATGTTAGGGCTTAGGCTATGGCTTGTGAGTCACTGTTTCTCCATCCTTACAGTTGCAAATGTTGGGATACGACATCAGCTGGGCTGCCTTCAACATTATAGAAGTGATGAGTGCCTCCAAGTTCACTTTCAAGGTGAGCTTGCTTTGGGGCCTGAACCCTGTGGTGATGGGGACTGGGGAAAAACAGATTTCTCATTGGGGGTCCCTTGGGCATTCTTGTGGTCCATCCCATGGCCAGAGGCCACACTGTAAAATAACAAAATAGCGACCTATTCCAGTGAAACTAGTTACATAAACATCACATCTCCAATTTTTGTCAAATGATTTTTTCCCCCTTTTTCTTGATTTTAGAGAGAGAAACATTGATGTGAGAAAGACACATTGATTGGTTGCCTCCTACACAACCCCAACTGGGCCAGGGATAGAACCTGCAACTGAGGTACATGCTCTTCACTAGGAATTGAACCTGCAATCCTTTGGTCTGCAGATCTATGCTGTAACCACTGAGCCAGACTGGCCAGGGCTGTCAAATTATTTATCCTATTTACATAATTTTCTCTAAGTTTTAAGTCATATCAGTGAAATTATGGGTTTATAGGATTAGTTATATATTTTTATTTTATTTATTTATTTTTATCCTCAACCGAGGACATTTTTTGTTATTTTGTTCAGATAGAGTGGGAGGGGGAGAGAGAGAGAGAGAAACATTGACGTGAAAGGGACACATCGAGTGGTTGCCACTCACACGATCCAGCCAGGGCCGGGGACACACTGCAACTGAGGTACGTGTCCTTAGCGGGAACCGAACCCAGGTCTTTCTGGACCGCAGGCTGATGCTCTAACTGCTGAGCCAAACCGGCCAGGGCAGTTATATATTTTTAAATACAAATTAAAATGATTTTGTAGCTTTTCAAAAGAAATTAAAAAACAACCACTGATCATGTCACCCAGAGGCCACCATTTGTCACCTTGTCCTTTGGAGTCTTAGTCATCTGAGAGATATTACTCTCGAGCAATTTGGGACACTGATTTCTTCTCACTTGATAATATAGCAAACATGTTTCTTGTTTTAGTACACATTCTGAAAAATGATTTTCCACACCCTGGCCCATTTGTGGGTATTCTGGAATGTCCCTGGGTTGGCTCAGTTTTCAGTGAAAATACACACTGGCCAGGCAGCTGAGGCTTTTTCCAGCCCTAAGGGCCCTGAGCAGCTACCTGTGGATCTTTGTTGTGGTCAAGCCTAGGCTCCCTGTGAAGGACACCATTGTTCTGCCTCCTGGTTACTCTTGGAATGAAATGCTACATTTGCCAAAATTGGGATGGTACTCTGCATGTGTCTTAAAGCATTTGTATACATGTGTGAGTGTGACTAGGTAGCCGAATCAGCCTGGCAGAGAGATTTTAATCTAAGAAAATCAGTGCTTAGGATGAGTTACTGTATCAGATCGTGAAAGCAGTTCCTGGCTGAAGACCCCCAGGGTGGTTTTTGAATGACATCTCTGTGCCCACCCACCTGTGGCCCCCAGGCCTGGGGCTGCTTGGTTTCAAGATCAGGGCTGGGAGCTTCTGGGAAGACTGTGGTCCCCTTGTCTCACCTCTGATGCCATCTTTTTTTGTTGTCGTTGTTAATCCTCATCCTAGGATACTTTTTCCATTGATTTTGAGAGAGAGAGAGAGATCTGTGTGAAAGAGACACATCGATTGGTTTGCCTCCCGCACGAACCCCGACCAGGCCAGGGATCGACCTGCAACCAAGGTATGTGCCCTTGACTGGGAATCAACCTGAGACCCTTTGGTGTGAGGGCCGATGCTCTAACCACTTAACCACACAAGCTGGGGCTCTGACACATTTTTTTGTTACACTCAACAGCGCATTGGCTACCTTGCTGCTTCCCAGTGCTTTCACGAAGGGACTGATGTCATCATGCTCACTACAAACCAGATTCGCAAGGTAGGCTGCCCTTCCTGTAGCCCCTGTGGTCTCTGGGCTCCTTGGGGTCCCTACATGAATGTCTCTTCTCCACACTGGTTTTTCTGTCACTCATGTGAATGGAAAACACTAAGGTCAGCACGATCTCACTGTCATAGTTCCCTTATCAAGCAGTCTTCGGCCCTTGGTTACATCATTCCCAAGATACACCCACACATGGCAGAGCAGATCTGCCTTTTAACCTGGGCAGATGGGAGAGGTGGAGGCTTGTTGGCCTTGCCTCTTCTCCTTTTTATTTCTTGGCATTGGAGGGCTGTTTCCATGGTCACTCTTCTCTCTGGTCCTTTCCCTCTTGCAGGAGTGCCTGTTGAGGTTACATGCCCTTCCTAGTATGCTGGTTTTCTGCCCACTAGGTCTTTTTGAGTCAGACTGCATTTATATTTCAGTTATGTGTAAGTTTATGTTTTGAAATGGGTTTTGAAGACCATTGAGTAATAAATTTTCTCATTGACCCCAGTATGTTTCCTATGGTCAGAGGGGATGTCAGCGAGAATCAGAGACCCACCCTTTCCTGGCCCCAGACCACACATTGGAGGCAGTATCCCTAGGCTCTCAGTGACTGGGTGCCAGGGCCAGATCCCTATGAGCTCTGCTCACCCCACATGGTGACCTAGGAATAAGCACTTGGGTGGACACTGTGAGCAGGCAGGCTAGCTGTGCTAGCATTAGCCAGGTACTGGTGCCAGCACAGGGTGAGATATGGGTCTAAGAACTTAACTGCCATGCTCTCAGTTCTTGGAGGTGAGGAAGGGGGGACTCATGGCTGTGGGCCAGGTTGCGCAGCAGCACTGGGTGTTATACATGCCACGGGGTGGTGAGGGTTGAGCTTGGCTGGTAGTGGCCTTGAAGAGGAGGGGGAAGAGGGGAAGCACTCTGGGTGTGGGGTGTCGGGGATAGTAAATGGGAGGTTGGCAGGAAGGTGGAGGGGCTCTGGATACCTGATGCCAGCCCACCTGGTAAGGCCCAGCTTTGATTTTCCTGCTGGCCATATCTATACCTTGCCTTGCCACCTTGATTTAGACAGATTTATCATCAATTCACATTGAAATGTGTTAGAGATTTCTGATCCGCTCTGCTGGGCAGATGGCCGAAGCCTGAGAATGTCCTCATAATAAAGCAGATGATACATCCTGTTGTAGTAAGATCTGGCAGGTGACCTTGACAGCCACTCCTGCACCCTCTGCCTGTTGCCATCTTGGCTTCCCTCATAGGGTCCTATCTTTTTTTTTTCCCCTTTATATTTTTAGAGAGAGAGGAAGAGAGGGAGAGAGAGATAGAAACATCGATGAGAGAGAACATCAACTGGCTGCCTCCTGCATGTCCCCCACTGGGGACTGGACCCACAACCTGGGCATGTGTCCTGACCAGGAATCAATCCAGTGACCTCCTGGTACATAGGTCGACACTCAACCACCGAGCCACACCAGCCGGACTTTTTTTTTTAATCCTCATGAGAGGCCCAGGCCAGTTTAGTGATTAGAGTGCCAGCCCATGGACCAATGAGTTGTGGGTTTGATTCCAGTCAAGGGCACGTACCTTTGTTGTGGTTCGTCCCTGGTTCTGATTGGGTCGTGTGGGAGGCAACCAGTCAATGTGGCTCTATCACATTGATGTTTCTCTCTGTCTCTCTCTCTCCCTCCTTCCCCCTCTATCTGATAATAAGTAGAAAAATATCCTTAGGTAGGGAATTAAAAAAAAAATCCTCATGCAAAGATCTTTTTCCATTGATTTTTCAGGTAGAGTGGGAGGGACGGAAAGAGGGAGGGAGAACATCGATGTGAGAGAGACACATTGATTGGCTATTTCCCACACGACTCCAACCAGAGCCGGGGATCGAATTGCAATGGAGGTATGTGCCCTTGACTGGAATCGAACCCACAACCCTCTGGTTCCCAGGCTGACGCTCTAACCATTGAACAAAACTGGCCCGGGCACAGGATCCTATCTTTATGCAGTGACAGACCTATTTGCCACTGTCATTTCTTTCCATTCACATCCCTAATGTTGGCAGTCCCTGTGCATGCCATTTTAAACGAACCTGAGACTTCTGAACACAACTGCCACAGACCTGCCCGCTAGGGCGAGGCTGTGGTTCCCTCCTTTTTTTAAAAAAAAAATTTTTTTTCTTTTATTGATTTTAGAGATAGAGGAAGAGAGAGGGAGAGAGAGATATAATCATCGATGAGAGAGAACATCGATTGGTTGCCTCCTGCATGCTCCCCACCGGGAATCTGGCCCACAACCCGGGCATGTGTCCTGACCGGGGATCGAACCAGCAACCTCTTGGTGCATGGGTTGACGCTCAACAACTGAGCCACACCAGCCAGACCCCTCTTCTTAACAGTGACTGTCCTTGCCCTGGCTGATTTGGCTCAGCAGTTAGAACGTCAGCCTGTGGTCGAGAGACCCAGGTTCGGTTCCTGCTAAGGGCATGTACCTCAGCTGCAGTTTGTCCCCGACCCTGGTTGGGTCATGTGGGTGGCAGCCACTCGATGTGTCCCTTTCACACTGATGTTTCTCTCTCTTCCTCTCTCTCCCTCCCACCCTGCCTGAACAAAAAAATGTCCTCGAGTGAGGATTAAAAAAGAAAAAAAACCAATGACTGTCCTCTCCAAATACCCCTTTTTTAATCCTCACCTGAGGACATTTTTTAATTTATCTTCAGAGAGAGAGAGAGAGAAACATCGATGTGAGAGAAACAGCACATCGACTAGTTGCCACCCACACAACCCCAACCAGGGCTGGGGACAAACTGCAATGGAGGTATGTGCCCTTAGTGGGAACCGAACCCGGGTCTCTCTGGTCTGCGGGCTAACGCTCTAACCACTGAGCCAAACCTGCCAGAGCCAAAAAACCCATTTTTGAGAGTCCCTGTGGTATCTTCTCGTGGTGTCTACCTTCTGCTTGGCCCTTTGTGAATCAGAAATGGAAAGTCCTCCAGTCAGGGATCAAGTTCTGTGCTATGGGTTTAATATCCACTCCTCAGCCCTGGCTGGAGTGGATATTAAAAGTCACTATTTTTGCCCTGGCCGGTTTGGCTCAGCGGTTGGAGCGTCAGCCTGCGGTACAGAGAGACCCGGGTTCGGTTCCCGCTAAGGGCACGTACCTCGGTTGCGGTTTGTCCCCGGCCCTGGTTGGTCGTGTGGGTGGTAGCCACTCGATGTGTCCCTTCACATCGATGTTTCTCTCTCTCTCTCTCTCCCCATCTCTCTCCCTCCCACTCCATCTGAACAAAAAATGGAAAAATGTCCTCGGGTGAGGATAAAAAACAAATAAAAAAAAAAAGTCACTATTTTCGCCCTGGCCAGTTTGGCTCAGTGGTTAGAGCATCAGCCTGCGGTCCAGAGAGACCCGGGTTCGGTTCCCGTTAAGGGCATGTACCTCGGTTGCAGTTTGTCCCCGGCCCTGGTTGGTCGTGTGGGTGGCAGCCACTCGATGTGTTCCTTTCACATCAATGTTTCTCTCTCTCTCCCTCTCCCTCCCTCCCTCCCACTCTACCTGAACAAAAAATGGAAAAATGTCCTCGGGTGAGGATAAAAAAAAAGAAAGTCACTATTTTCGTATTAGCATAGTCTGTAATCTTAGCTCTTAGATGTTTTAGTTGGTTTGTTTTTTGTTAATTCTCAACTGAGGATATTTTTTCATTGATTTTTAGATAGAGTAGAGGGAGCGGGGGGAGAGAAACATCATGTAAGATAGAGACATTGGTTAGTTGCCTCCCACAAGACCCTGACCAGGGCTGTGGATTGAACCTGCAATCCAGGTATGTGCCCTTGACCGGCAATCAAACTCACGACCCTTCGGTCCTGAGACTGACGCTCTATGACCACTGAGCAAAACTGGCCAGGGCTTCAGTATTTTTCTTTTTACCACACATGCATATATAAAAAGTTTTTCGAAGTTCTTTAGAAAAATGTCATCACAAAAATGAGTTTGTGATGTAAAAAGAAAACTTTCCTAATGTTGAGATGAAGTGCTTCTGGGATTGGTCTTAGAACTAGAGTTTGAGGGCAGCAGGTGAGTGACTGTGGGGGCATAGGATCACATGTGCACTCCTCCTCATGGCTGGTTTTCCTGTTCACCTGCAGGATGAGGCATAGGTCTAACTTTATGCTTTGGGGCAGGGCCCAGAGGAGTGGTCCCTGGCTCTTGTATGGGAGACACACCAATGGAGGTAGAGGGGTCCCAGTGGGCTGGTGGGGCTGACTGGCCACAACATCTCCTCGGCCCTGGGTTCACAGGCAGGAAGCTCAGCTCTGGTCACACCCCTGGGACAGGGGCTATGCCAAGAATGAGGTACAGCCTCTACACCCATCCCAGATCTTCTCTTGGTGACAGCAAGGAGCTGGCTGCTCTGTGTTACTCTTTGGGCTGGTGGGGGCAGAGCGATGACCCGGGCGATGCTTGATTGGCACCTGCCCCTAACCTTTCTTCCTTTTTTTCCAGGACCTGAGCAGCCCCAGCCAGTATGACACTGGTGTTGCACTGACTGGACTGTCCTGTTTTGTTACCTCAGATCTTGCCAGAGACTTGGCCAATGACATCATGACACTGGTGAGTTTGTGAGTGTGCTGCCGACTCTGGGCATATGCTTTGTGAGCAATTTGAAATACATGGATGCCTGGAAAACCGAGACTAAAACGTCATGCCAAGAACACTTAGGCATATGGAAATGGGTCTGGATCCCTGAGATGGGAGGGGGAAACTGAGTCACTTTCTGATGTTGTTGTTGTTGTTGTTCATCCAAACCAGTGGATATTTTTCCATTGATTTTTGAGAGTGGGGGGAGGGGGACATCGATGTGAGAGAGATAACATTGATTGGTTACCTCCCACACAACCCCTTCTGGGGCAGGGAATCAAACCTGCAACCCAGGTGTGTGCCCTGGACCAGGCATCAAATCCACAACCCTTTAGTCCAAGGGCTGATACTCTAACCACTTAGCTGAACTGGCCAGGGCTGAGTCACTGTCTTCATCTCCATCACCTGATGGCACCAGGCCTCAGGCCCCTGTCATTCTCGAATTCTTACTTCATCTCCTTTGAAATAGTTCTACTTGGGGAAGGGGTGTGTGTTACTGGCAGGTGAGGTCTAGCTGAGGGCTTTCACCCTCGAGGTCAGGCATGTGACCCATCACTCTCTTACTGAGGTTAAGGTGATGGTATCAGTTGTCTCAACAGGCAGCATGGTCAGGGTTATCCCCTTCTTCTCCATCCCTAATGCCATTTATTTCTGTTTGGTCACAGTTTGACTTCTCACAGTTCAGTTGATCCAGAAGACATAACCCCAGCCAGTTCTGATCTCCAGGGGCCTGAAAGTTCATTCTAAATATGGATACCCTTCCCTGGCTGGTGTGGTTTGGTGGTTAGAGCATCGGCCCGCTCACCAAATGGTTACAAATTTGATTCCTGGTCAAAGACAAGTGCCTGGGTTGCAGGTTTGATCCCTGGCTCCAGTTAGGGCACATGCAGGAGGGAACCAGTCAATGTGTGTCTCTCACGTTGATGTTTCTGTCTCACCCCTTCTCTCCCTCCCTTCTACTCTAACAATCAATGGAAAAAATATACTTTGGTGAGGATTAACAAAATTAATTAATTAATATTCACCTTTTCTCCCACCCCCACTCTTCAGTAGGCCCTAATGAGTCCAGGGAGGAGGGTCTTGGCCTCTGGAGGACAAGCCTAGGGTCATGGATGCAGGGAGACAGTTTTTGATCCCACCCAGGACTGTTTTGTGATCCCTGGGCTTGGGACTTGAAGGTTGGAAGCTGGAGAGAGGATTTTCCTTTGGGAAATGGTGGTGAGAAACAGGCAGGTTTAGGAGGTGAACAGGGCAGTGTGGGAGGTGAGCACGAATGTGAGCAGGGCAGGTGTGGGGAGGTAAGACGTGTAGCTGATGTGGAAGGTTAGCAGCACAGTAAGGCAAGTGAACAGTGCAGGTGTGCAGGGCAGGTGCATGGGATGCAGTACCATGGGAGGCCCAATGGCACTCTGCTTTCATAGATGTCACACACCAAGCCGTACATCCGGAAGAAGGCTGTGCTGATCATGTACAAGGTGTTCCTGAAGTACCCTGAGTCGCTGCGCCCTGCCTTTCCCCGCCTGAAAGAGAAGCTGGAGGACCCTGACCCTGGTTTGTTGATTTGAGATGAGATGGGAATCGTACTAGGCTGTGGTGCTTTACCAGCATCCAGGACCTGATGGAGGGCGTTGTGAGGAAGGCATTGAGGGCACCGAGGACCTCTGTTCTACAAACCCCTCCTCCCCCGCACCTCTTTACTTTCTGGCACCACAAGAGGCAGCTTCAGCACTGGAATCCACCATTTCTCTAAGTAGCCCTGGTCCTGTTTATTGGTGTGGGATTTAGAAACAGAATGTGGCACTGGGTATGCTCATGCTCCTGGGGAATTGATCTTTTAGGCCCTCAGTAGACACCTGCACCCTGGGCAGGGGCCTTTCTGCCTGCATATTAATAGTCACAAGTTTGTTCTGATGCCTCAATGCGTTGACTCTCGTCCGTCCTACACCATGGGGCTCATTCTAGCATTCCTTCTGCCCATTATTTTCTCTCACTCCTTTCTCCTGTGTGGAAACCTGGGCTGAGCAGGTGTAAACTAGTTTCTCTAAATCCACCGTGGGTTCCAATGTGTCTGTGGGAATCTGCTGTGTGTCTCAGAGAATTGCAGGTGCAGAAAGTTCTGACTGGGGAAGTAGCAGCCAAGTCAGCCAACATGGTGGGCTAGGGGCAGGAGTTTTTGCTGCCCTAGGTGGAGGGGAGCACAGTCACTTCATGTGGTGGGCATCTTGATCCTGGGGTTACTTTGATCCTGCAGGTACCCACCTCACAGCCTTGGGTCCTCTCCTCTAAGGAGTGATAGTGGTCAGGGCCCCAAGGGGTTGGGGTTTGAGCTATGCCCACAGGTGATGGGTGCAGCACCTGGCACAAGCAGGAGCCCTGCACTCAGAATGGCCAGCCTGCCTCCCCATTACTGATGAGGACCTCTGTTATGCAAAGAGCTGAGGTCCAAGAAGGCCTTAGTGTAATGTTTGCCAATTCCAATGAAATAATCTGGAGTACTGGCTGAGAAAGACATGAGTTTATTAGGATATGTGTGCACCGGGGGCAGCCAGCTGGTGAAGTCTCTACAACATAGGCTTTTGTAGCACAGGGTTGTACAGAGTACAGAAAGCAAAGCAAACAGCATACAGGGTGGATGTGCTCATGTGCAAGCTGTGTGAGATCAAAATGCCAGCTATTTACAGTCCAGGTTCAAATCTGAAAATAGTTTTTTTTTTATCCTCACCCAAGGACATTTTTGCATTTATCTTCAGATAGAGCAAGAGGAAGAGAGAGAGAGAGAGAGAGAGAGAGAAACATTGAGTGGTTGCCACTCACACAACCCTAACTGGGGCTGGGGACAAACTGCAGCCGAGGTTCATGCTCTTAGCGGGAACTGAACCCGGGACTGTCTGGTCTGCGGGCCGATGCTCTAACTGCGGGGCCCAACCAACCAGGGCCAGAAAGTTTCTTTATGGCCATTCCTTGATGAGCTGGCCAGTATAGATGGCCTTCATTATAGTCCCACAGGGTCGGAGGGGGAGTTGGAGCTCGGGAAGCGGCTTATATTCTCACATACCACACACCCCTCTGATCTCACAGGGGTTCAGTCGGCGGCAGTCAATGTCATCTGTGAGCTGGCCAGACGTAACCCCAAAAACTACCTTTCCCTGGCCCCGCTATTCTTCAAGCTGATGACCTCCTCAACCAACAACTGGGTCCTCATTAAAATAATCAAACTGGCAAGTGTCCCCAACTTTCCCCCTTCTTGTGTATGGAAAGACTGTGAGGGTGTTCTGGGAGCTCTCAGTGCTGGGAGGCGGTGAGGGTTAGAGTTGGTCAGTATGCTCATGCGGAATCCCAGATGTTTCGTCCTGCTCCTGCTGCCTGTGACCTGGGCCTCTCGTCCCCTAGTTTGGTGCTCTGACCCCCTTGGAGCCAAGGTTGGGCAAGAAGCTGATCGAGCCTCTCACCAACCTGATCCACAGGTGAGCCTTGGAGACCTGTCCTCGGTCACACACACACCTGTCCTTGGTGCACCTGCTGCGGGAAGGCCTGTGCTCCCTGGGAGGCTGCCAATGTGTGGGAGGGGTGAGCCCAAGGAAAGTCTTAGAATGGAGCAGCAGACACACCCATTATGACTTTGGTGGAGATGAGAAGCTATGCCTTAGTACCTGCTGGCCCCCCAGGGACACAGGCTGGGTTCATTTTCTCTCATTCAGTTTTCGAAACAGCACAAACATAAGGAAGAAAGGTGCTCACTCAGCCCACTGGTCACAGTGGACCTTGGCAGTCCTGGTTGAAGGCCTTAAATGATCATTGTTGTTAATTCTCGAGTGTTCTAAGAGCTGCCAGGCCACTTAAGATGCCTGTAGTTGAATTATTGGGGCCAAGTGGCTGGAGACTCAGTAAATCTGCTTCCAGGTTCCCCTGGTGAGGGAGACAGGAGGAACCAGATCCATGATATTGTCTTCTCTGGGAAGCAGTGGTGGTGAGGGCCCCAAGTGGGTTGGGTTTAATTGTGCCCACAGGTGATGGGTGCAGTGCCAGGCACAAGCAAGGGCCCTACACACAGAATGGCCAGCCTGCTGAAGACCACCCCCCCAGTCTTCAAGATAGGTTTCCAGTGTCCTCTGGGCTTCAGGTTCCTTGCTCATAAACCAATCAGATGTTATAATTAGGTACAATAGGTTTTTAGGCTTGGGACTTTTTGGATTTTATATAAATAACCAGTCATGGAGTTTACATTGTAGCTGTGGTTTCAGAGAAGATTAACAAGGGGCCATCGGTGTTGTGAACTAGGGATGTGGGCGGCTCTGATAGCCTCTGCTCTCCATACTCTGAGTGGTCTCCATACTCTGGGTTTTGGGTAATTGGGCTGTAGCATTACCTGTGAGAATATCAGCTGAGTAGATACACTTGGTCCCCACTTCAGTCTTCGGCCTGGGCGTACTCCTCACATTTCCCTAGGTGCCCTTGGTGGGACGAGAGGGGTTAGGGCCACTGACTTCTGTGATCTGCCTGCCCTTGTGTGGCCATGTCTGACTGCCCCTCGGGCTCCTCCATCGGAGTAGAACTTGGCAGTGGTTGTCTGGGCTGGTAGAATTGTCTTTGTGCTGCCAGAGCAAGTGGAGAATTTGGCTTTTCCCTATGGGTGTTGCACAATTGGAAGGTTAAGGGAATAGGCTTCTGTGGAGGGAGTGCTTCAGGTTGTGCATGTGGTGAGTGGATGGGATGCTGTTACCTTCGGAGCATTCTGATGACTCAGGTGAGGGAGCAGCCTCTGGGCCTCACTGACCAGGCAGAGATACCAAATGCCAGGAGCCAAGACTCCTACCCTAGCCCCACCTTGGAGCAGGGTAAGTTGGGGGGAGTGGGGGCTGCTGGGCCAAAGAGTGACGCCATCCCCATGTGACTTTCAGACATTAGGTGTCATGGACCCATTGCTGTCATGACCATATTTTTTCAGACATAATGCACTTGGGTCTTGCTTCTCAACAGAGCAGCACATTGTTCTCACGTCTTCTTTTTTCCTTCTCCAGCACATCTGCCATGTCCCTTCTCTATGAATGTGTGAACACTGTCATTGCAGGTAAGAACCACAGTTACCTGGTTCTGAAACATGGCTGATGTTAGTGGGAGACCTTCCCTCCCTCCTGCCCCAGGGGGTTTCAGATGGGGACAGGAGGGTGCCCATCCTGGTGGTGTGGCCTGCGATAGGCTGGTCCCTAATGGTTGTCACCAGGCTGTGCCAGTGTGGTTCAAGGTTACTTGGAGTTGCAATTTCTCAATCTTCTCCATCCAATTCCCACTTGCTGTCAGTGTTGGATGTTTACTTCCATCTCTGAGCCACACCCAGCCCTGTGGGAAGTGTCACAGTCAGAGTCCACTGCCTTCACAGGCCTCCAGTGTCAGATCCCACTGTTCCTGTCCCATTTATCACATCTGCCAAACAGGCCCTTGTTTTTCCTAAGTATGTTAAATCAAACCATTTTCCCTGTAGGCACTTAGGTATAGGAATCCACAACACAGACTATGTGAAGTCCACTCATGGGTACTCCTCAGAAGGTCTTCTGAGAGGCCGTTTGTTGGGGTCAGGATTTGGCTCAGGGCCACACAAAACGCTGCTGATTGATGTCCACACCATTGATGAGTTAGAGTTCCTTTCCCCCACTCTGTATCTGTTGGAACTCCAAATGTTACTTCCAGGCCTGGCCAGCTGTCTCCTGGTGCAATATCTGAACCACGTGTCTGTGCAGCTGGGCCTCTTACAGACTGGCAGTGAAAGCTGGAGGCTCAAGGGGCTCAGCTTCTCGCTGCCTGCCTATCCATGTCCAAAGCTGTTGGGAAGCAGCCTCTCGGTCCCTCATCGTGGACCCATGGAGAGCCTCAAATTCAGTGATTCATAAGAAGCTGACCCAGGGTCTGTGCTCTGGGCCATGAGTGTCCCTGAGGGTCGATGACAGTAAAGGAGAGAAAGGGCCGGCTTACTGGGCAGGCTGGTGCCTAAAGGTGGTGACCACAGTCTCCAGAAAGTAGTCTCCTACATTTGGAAAGTTGATAAGGCAGACTGGGGCATGACCGGATCAGACATGGCCCTGGAGGTAGGTGGGGCAAGTGGGGATGCAGGCAGGGCAGTGGGCCTGAGTGAGGTTGTCCAGGGGCTGGCACGTTGCAGAGACAGTGGGTCTCATGCGATTGTGCCGAGCACCGGCAGGACCATGTAGCCTGATTTTCATAGAACTACTCTGGACAGAGATGCCTGGTACCCTTAGGGCTTTGATCTGCTCTCTTGACCACAGAGACTCAACCAACTCCCAGGGTTCTCACTGGGGGCTGGTCATGCAGGTGCCTCTGCCCAGCACATTTGAGATCCCAGACTCCTAGAGAAGAGCAAGTACTCGGCATGAACCGTGTTTGCAAAGTTTAGAGACAGTGCCTCCACTGCCATCAACTGTTTGAGGGCCAGTCTTGAAAGACTTGCAAGCCTGCCTTCCCAGGGAGAGTGGTCCGGCTGCTGTGTTAATTCTTTGCTTCACAAACATCAGCTGGGCCAAACAGTTCCCAATGTGGTGATATTTTCACCTTGGGTCCTTCCCACCCGGCACACACTGGACATGTTGAGTAGACATCTGCCTGCCAGGCTCTTAACCCAAGGTTGTCTGTTTCAGTTCTCATCTCCCTGTCCTCCGGCATGCCTAACCACAGTGCCAGCATCCAGGTATGTTCTGGGCCAGACACATGCCACAGGGTCCTAAGGCTCTGCCACTGGCTGGGCCTTTTCTCCCTTCAGTGTCCTTGGCCTGGAAACCTCCTTTCCCTGTGATCTGAAAGCTCCCAGTCCACTCCTCACATGCTCTCATCATTCATGCCTAATGCTCGGTACCCTGGACTGTGCCCAGTAGGGAGCAAGCCAGTGGCTGTGCATCATCTGCTTGATTTCCCTGGTACAGTTCTGAGTTTTCTAGCAGCTCCTGGTCCCCCCTGCAGCCACCTGAGTGTGTGCCTATGTCTTGTTCCCTGTCCTAAGGTCTCCCACCATTCTAGATCCCCGTCTTCTTTGTGACCCCTGTGAATGCTGTGTTCACCCCGCAGCACAAGTCCCATGGCCTCCCTGAGTGGCCCAGGAACCATTGCAATGGTCATTCCATTGTTTGGGGGGTTAAGTTTGTGTTTATTACATAAGTAATATGTAAGTAGATCCCTGGATATCATCCTTTTCCCAGAAGGCACCGCCATGCTGTCGTCTTGTGTCCTCACACACGTGAGCACTCGTGGAAAGCACCAGGGTGTCCTGTGCCTGTTTCTGTGGGTGCTTCCCATGCATCTACGTTGGGTATCTACTGTCTCTTTGTCCTCTGTGGCTCTGGCAGACAGCCCTCCTGAGCACTGGGTGCTCTGCAGTATAGAGGCCATGGTGTGCACAAGCCACCTTGTTCATGGGGGTGTGGGACAGGCTGGAGGTCACTGCGTTCATCATTGCTTCAGGAGATGTAACCAGTGTCATCTCCTCGTTTGCAGCTCTGTGTTCAGAAGTTAAGGATATTAATAGAAGACTCTGACCAAAATTGTAAGTTGCTCCCCTTTGTAGACCTGTGCGCATTCCTGTCAGGATGCATGAAAATTTCTTGTCATTAATTAGATGGGGTAGCTCATGGCTCCTTGGCGTCTTTCCTAACAGGCATAGAGCAACCCTGCTGGTCTTGTGTGCCTGCATGTACTCTTCTATTGTAAATGTGTTCTGTTGAGAGGTATCAGCCAGTGACACTGCCTAGTGCCTGACTACACTAACCAGGGCTTCTAAGTTCTGGGTGTGTTGACTGCTGTTTTTGAGTTCAGATATGTTTGTTTAAGCAGGGCCAGCCCGTAAGTTTTCAGCTTTGTTATCACAGTCTCTGCTCTTGTAGTTTGAAAGCCAATTTTAGTCAACATTTACGTACAGGTGTGGCTATGTGTCAATTTAACTTTATTTACAGAACAGGCTCAGGCTGGATGTGGCCTAGGGGTTGCAGTTTAACGCCCCTGGTTTAGATGTATTGGTGCTGCTCAGGGGTGGATAGTGGCCCCTGGTATGTGTGAGGTATGCAGTGGGCTTATTGGGGCCTGGGACTTCTCTGTCAACTCTTCTGTTGTGGGCCATGCAGGAAGATAGGTGTCATGTTAATTGCCACACTTAGAAAGCGTTGGTAACCACTTTCCTGACAGCAGAGGTAACAGTGCTGAGTGGGTATGGAGGCATTCCTTTCTTCTCACTGCCCCATCCTAAGTCCTGGCTGTTCCATTACACCCTCCAGAACACCTTTGGAATCTACCATATTGTCCAGGACACCTGGGGGCCATCAGTGAGGCACGTTCCCAGAGCGCCCAGGTGGTCAGGGCCAGGCAGCAGGGCACCTGCAGACTTGGCCTCTCTCTGTGTATCAGCCTTGAATCTTTTTGCAATGTGTTTGGGTTTAACCATATTTCACTGTCTCCTCAGTGAAGTACCTGGGTCTGTTGGCCATGTCCAAGATACTGAGAACTCACCCCAAGTCTGTGCAGGCTCACAAGGACCTTGTTCTGCAGTGTCTGGATGACAAGGACGAGTCCATCCGGCTGCGGGCCCTTGACCTCCTATACGGAATGGTATGTGCCCCTCCCGGGTTGGGTCTGTCACTGCTCTGTGTTCCCTCGCCCGGCTCCTCCCTCATCAGGCCCCCACACAGGTGTCCAAGAAGAACCTGATGGAGATTGTCAAGAAGCTGATGACCCACGTGGACAAGGCTGAGGGCACGACCTACAGGGACGAGCTGCTCACAAAGATCATCGACATCTGTAGTCAGTCCAACTACCAACACATCACAAACTTTGAGTGGTGCGTCCCCATGTGTAGCCTGGGGGACATGGACCAGCCTTATGGTGGGTGTATCTCAATGGCTCCCTTCTACAGGTACATCAGCATCCTGGTGGAGCTGACCCGGCTGGAAGGCACACGCCACGGCCACCTTATTGCTGCGCAGATGCTGGATGTGGCCATCCGAGTGAAGGCCATCCGCAGGTTTGCTGTGTCGCAGATGTCTGTGCTGCTCGACAGTGCTCACCTGGTGGCCAGTAGTACCCAGCGCAATGGGATCTGCGAGGTGCTCTATGCTGCTGCCTGGATCTGTGGGGAGTTTTCTGAGTGAGTGGGCTCAAAGGTGTTCCCAGAGCCTATGCTCATGAGAGGAAAGGATAAGGGAACGTACTTGGCGGGCCTGTCTCCTCGCGGGCCTGTCTCCTCCCGTCCCTGGCACCTGCCACACCAAAGCCTATTCTGCAAACTTGGTTTTCCCCATCATAGAGTGCTCTAGCTCTGGACTGCCACTTTCTCATTGAAAAAAAGTCTCTGTAAGCCCTGTGACCATCTTCACAGGCATGGGGTCTTTACCCAGGTTTTCTTCCTGTACTTGTCCATTACAGGTTGTTCATCGCAAGTTCTTGCTGGTGAACCGTGTCGTTCCCTTTTTTCTCTAAACTCTCTTCCTTTCAGCTACTCTGGTTGTCACGTTGTTGCCATGGTTTCTTCCCTTAAATCTCCTCCCTCAACCTCTCAACCCCTGATGCTGGGGGGTGGTTGGGAGTAGCCCACTCCTTTAGCAGAGTGTGCAGCCCCTCTTCTCCACTCATCCCGCCTCCCTGCCTTTAGGCACTTGCAGGAGCCCCACCAGACCCTGGAGGCCATGCTGCGGCCCAAGGTCACCACCCTGCCTGGCCACATCCAGGCTGTGTATGTACAGAATGTGGTGAAGCTATATGCGTCCATACTGCAGCAGAAGGAGCAGGACTCAGATGCTGAGGCAGCCCAGGAGCTCACACAGCTCATGGTGGAGCGGCTGCCCCAGTTTGTGCAGAGTGCAGACTTGGAGGTCCAAGAGCGGGTATGTGCCAACAGGCGGCAACTCTGGGGGGCACATGTGAAGGCCAGCAAGGGCGTTGGGGAGCATGTGGACAAATAGGAGTCAATTTAAGGGTGTGATCAGCAGACTCTGGGTCAGTGGGCTGCACTTTTGATTCCTGAGTTAGAACTCCACAATGCTGCTGGATATCTGGTCATGGCCCCTTCTGCACATCTTGCTTGTGGGCCTGTTTTTGTCCCCACACTTTCTTCTGCTGAAGGAACTGGGAACCAGAGCTGTTTCTTTCTTGGTTAGATTCCTCCACAGCTAAATGTTTCTTATGGAGCCCTGGCCGGTTTGGCTCAGCGGTTAGAGCGTTAGCCTGCGGTCCGGAGAGACCCGGGTTCGGTTCCCGCTAAGGGCACGTACCTTGGTTGCAGTTGTCCCCGGCCCTGGTTGGGTTGTGTGGGTGGCAACCACTCGATGTGTCGCTTTCACGTCGATGTTTCTCTCTCTCTCTCTCTCCCTCTCACTCTATCTGAACAAAATATTGAAAAATGTCCTCGGGTGAGGATAAAAAAAAAAAAAAAACCCAAAAAATAAAAAATAAAAAATGTTTTTTATGGAGCCTTGCAGGTGTTCTCAGTAGGGCTCCTGCATGGTTTGAGTGATACCCTGTGGTTGCCAGGTGGCCTTCAGAATCCCATTCTTGATTCATCCTTGGCTCTTTTGTGGTCCCCATAGGCATCCTGCATCTTGCAGCTGGTCAAGCACATCCAGAAGCTTCAGGCCAAGGATGTGCCAGTGGCAGAAGAAGTGAGCGCCCTCTTTGCCGGGGAGCTGAACCCAGTGGCTCCCAAGGCCCAGAAGAAGGTTCCGGTCCCCGAAGGGTGAGCCATGTGGCTTGTAAGAGGACATGGAGCCAAGGGGAGAGTTGGTGGCCCCAAGAAGGGCTATGGGAGCAGTACTAAACCCTAGGCAGGAGGAAGGGCCTCCTGTACCTTAGCCTTCCATAGGCTGGAGTGACCACCATCACTTAGACTATACCAGAGCTCACCACATCTTGTGGAACCCTATTGTCCCCATCCTTGGTGCCACTTCCAGGAACTGGGTCTGCTGGCAGTCCTTGCCCACAAATGGGGGAAGTGTGAGCCTGCATGAAGGCCCCAGAATGTGGGTAGGGTTATTAGCGGGTAACCCAGGCCCCAGGTTCCCTTGGGCTCTCTCACATCCTTTGTGACCCCTGCCATAAGTGTTCAGGGTTGGGCACACAGGCTGGAGCCGCTGTGTGACCTCGTTATGTCTTGCAGCCTGGACCTGGATGCTTGGATCAATGAGCCCCCTTCAGACAGTGAGTCTGAGGATGAGATGCCCAAGGCTATCTTCCATGATGAGGAGCAGCGGCACGCCAAGCAGCAGCCACCCAAGGCCGATGAGGAGGAGCTGGCCCGGGTGAGTGTCATGGCTCTAGGGCAGTTGGCTCTCTTAGAGCTGGCTTTGAACCCCAAGCTTGTGACACCTATGCATGGTCCTGCCGGATCTCGTCTGTCCTGCTGTCCTCCACGGAGCGCTGAGCCAACTCTTGACACCAGAGTTGAATTTTGTTGCAATGAGAAGCTTCTCTTGACCTCAGAGGTCCCTGGAGAGACCCATGGGGGCCTGACCTGCTGCCCAAAGGCCTGTAGGTGCATTTGACATACTTTTGTCAGCTCCATGGCCTTGTGGGTACAGGACTTTGTAACAGTATGTAAGGTTTACACAACCCTAAAAAGTACAGAGATGTTGTGTTTCCCCCGCTCCCCACCCAACCACATTCAGCTCCTCTCTTTCTGAAATTAGGGACACCACACCTCACCCCAGGAGCCCCTCCTCTACCCTGCTTATGAACTGCCCTGGGCCTCCCCAGGCTGAGCCTTTGGGTAGTGTGACCTGGCACCTGTCTGTGCTGTGCCCTGGAGTTGAGGGGCCTCCTCACCTGAGACCCCGACCTTGAACTGGATATGGTAGTCCCTCCCTCCTGGGATTATTGGCGCCTGCCTATCTCCAACCTGCCACTTTCCACTGCTGACCTCAGTATCCCTGTTAGTCAAAGACCCATAATGAAAATACTAAGAAACCCTGTCCCCCACCCAGTGCCTGCAGCACAGAGGTGGCCCATACCTGGAAAGGAACAAGGGCTTACGCCCTGGCCGGTTTGGCTCAGCGGTTAGAGCGTTGACCTGCGGTCCGGAGAGACCCGGGTTCGGTTCCCGCTAAGGGCACGTACTTCGGTTGCAGTTTGTCCCTGGCCCTGGTTGGTCGTGCGGGTGGCAGCCACTCGATGTGTCCCTTTCGCGTCGATGTTTCTCTCTCTCTCTCTCTCTCTCTCTCTCTCCCCCTCCCTCCCACTCTATCTGTACAAAAATTGGAAAAATGTCCTCGGGTGAGGATAAAAAATAATAATAAAAAAAGAAAGGAACAAGGGCTTATACTCCATGTGTTCACTGACCTTGAATCTTGTCCTCACAGCGTCGAGAAGCCCGGAAACAGGAGCAGGCCAACAACCCCTTCTATATCAAAAGTTCCCCGTCCCCCCAAAAGGTGAGGCCTGCCTGGAACATATTCCAGGGACATCCCTGGCCCTGCTGGGGCCCCGTCGTTTTTGGGGGGACCAGGAGCCACCATCTTCAGAGCAGCAGTGGGTTGTCTTCATAGATCCATGTGTCAGGACTGAGAAAGGGTTTCCAGGCATGGGACTTGGGAGAAAGCCAGTCTCACACATGGTACTCAAGTTCAGGCTACTCTGACCAACAGGCAGAAAGACTGCAGGGGTGGTGCCTCTCTGTAGGTGGGTGCTGCACACCGGATTGGGGGTAGCACCGGCTGCCTTCATTGATATCCTCATCTGGTGAACTCGCAATGGAATGCACAGTGGGCTCCACACAGGAGATGTGGCTCTGTGGAGTAGGCACTCAGGTGCTTCCCTTCTTGGAATAGCTGGGTCCCCTAGTGACTCTGCTTGGACTCCTGAGAGGCCCACAGACCTTTTCCTACCCACAGTGCAAGAAGGTACCTGTGTCATCTGCGTTCTTTATCCTGCCATTGGGGTCATGTCTGCCATCTCACTGAGATTTCAAGCCTGCTTAACTTTTCTTTCTTGGGAAAAGAGGATTCAAAGGAGGGAAAGTCAGTGGAAGTTTTGTGTCTTCATCTATACTTGTTCATGCTGTAGATAAGCTCCTAGGAGGACCCCTTGCTTCCCAGTGTCATTGGCACCCCTCTCACTGGGCAGTGACCCCCGTCCTCAGGTGTCACCATCCATCCTGCCCAGTAATGTTTTGCCGTTTGCCTCTGCAGCGGTACCAGGATGCACCGGGTGTGGAGCACATACCTGTGGTGCAGATCGACCTCTCAGTGCCCCTGAAGGTGCCAGGCAAGTGTCTATACAGTTTAGGGACAGGGAGCCCCCTGCTGGCAAGGGTGGCGGGAGACCTGGTTCCTGACTATCATTCAGAAAGCCCCCACCTGCATCTTGTGTCTCAAGGGGCAATGCCTGCATGTCCCTTCACCCTCTAGTGCATAACTGGTTGCAGGGTGTTTCTCCCCTGCATCCCAGACTGCCCACACATGGCTCTGGAGCTAAAGTTGGGTGGGGCTGAGAGCTGTGTCCATGCCTGTAGGGCTGCCCACATCAGAGCAGTACGTGAAGCTGGAGGAGGAGAGGCGGCACCGGCAGAGGCTTGAGAAGGACAGGCGGAAGAAGAAGCGAAAGGAGAAGAAGGGCAAGCCGCGACGCCATAGCTCACTGCACACCGAGAGTGACGAAGACATTGCCCCAGCTCAGCAAGTTGACATTGTCACTGAGGAGATGCCTGAGGTCAGCCTTTTCACCTGACAGTCTTCCTCCCATCTCCATGTAACCTGGGTGGTCAGAGGGCCCCATTCAAGTGTACTTCTTCATTGCCACCATCTGTATGCCCCAGGAAGTCCGAAAACCAATGCTGTTTTATGCCTAATCCTGCAGGCCAGGGCTTGTTGAGCTATGAGTAGATGTGTGTGTGTGTTCTCCCTTCCCCAACCTGCCCTTCCGCTCTCCTGTATGTGGCGTGGAGGTGCTGGCACATCCCTACCTTTTGGGCTGATCACATACACACGTAACTGTGGACCTGGGCATTTGTTTCTGAGAAAGGGGTGGGACCTCCTGTTAGGCTCAAACTCAGGGTCCAAAAGGCTGAATGTCATTGGCACCCCTTTCACTGGGCAGTGACCCCGAGTCTCATGGCCTTGTGGGTACGCCGAGTCTCTTTCTTCTCTCAGAATGCTCTGCCCAGTGACGAGGATGACAAAGACCCTAATGATCCCTACAGAGCCCTGGACATCGACTTGGATAAGTGAGTTTGGGGCTGGGGCTGGGTAGCTGCCAGTAGGGCTGGTCTCAGGCTTAGGCTTTCCTGGTGTTTCTCTGTCCTTGCTGTCCCACTCCATCCTTTACGTTTTTTAACACAATGTGTGCGGACAGAAGGGGTGGCAAAGGGTTCATCCTTCTCTAGACCTTGTCACAGGCCACACATATGTTTAGTGGCAGGGATCAAGTGCAGGAGGACAGGCCCGGCTCTTCCTGTGACCTGCCCCCACCCCACCCCCAGGCCCTTAGCCGACAGCGAGAAACTGCCCATCCAGAAACATAGAAATGCTGAGACCTCCAAGTCCCCTGAGAAAGAGGATGTACCTGTCATAGAAAAGAAAAGCAAGAAACCTAGGAAGAAAGAGAAGAAGCACAAGGAGAGAAACCGGGAGAGAAGGAAGGAGAAGGAACGGAAGGTGAGGCCCGCCTGTGGATTTCGTACCCCTTCCTCCCTCCCTCAGTGCAGGCTGGCGACAGTATGGAGTAAGGCCAGGCACCCCAGCCTTTGGCAGCACTGAGACTTGTCACAGCCTGTAGTGATGGAGGGGAAGGGGAATTCTTGCCAATCTCCCTAGGTGGAAAATCCACACTTTTTTGTGGTTGCATGCATGTTTATCCATGTGGCCCTGTTTCTGGTGGGGGCCTCCTTTCGGGTTCCATCTAGAGTTTCTTGGGCCCATCTTGCTGCTTTGGCCAAAGGCCTGTTTTTCTGTGGTTTCAGAGTGAGGACTTAGATTTCTGGCTGTCCACCACACCGCCACCTGCCACCACTCCAGCCCCATCCACGGTAAGACCCTGACAAGTGCATGTGGTGATCCCACAAGGTCCTCATCTGGGTGGGTGCACTTCACGGCCTTGGACAAGCTGCCTCTCCAAGGAGTGCAGGAACACCCCGTCTGGGTATTGCCCACATCAGCCCTTCTCCTCCATCACCCATTGGACCTTCCAGTGATAGACCCTCACATAGGCCAGCCAGATTTGGGACAGTGTTCATGCCTCATGTCTTGCCTAGGCAGTGGCTATAGCATTATGGGGGTGGTTGGGTGGCTGGCCATCAACATAGAGCCTGGTGCCCCCACCTGAGTTAGGCAGCAGCCTTGAGCAGTTACTTTATGAAAGTACATGATGCTTAGTGGCTCTAGGGTCTTGTGCATTGACCCCAGTTAGTGCCAGTTAGTCTCAGACCAGGCTTCCTCTCCTATCTGTTGGCCACTTGCACTTCCTGGTGGCCACACACCTGCATGCTGACAAAACATCTGGCATGCAAGAGGAGTCCCAGGCCATGTCACTCACAGGGTGTCCCAGCACAAGGGCAGAAGATACCTTGTTCTGGGCCCTGGCTACCCTCTCCCCCCCCTCCAACATGACCCCTCCCAAGCCTCCACCGCTGGGTTCCCTGCAGGAAGAGCCAAGGGTGAACACAGTCGTTGAGGAAGAGTGCGAGGAACCCAAGAGACAGGAACAAGATGATGAGGAGGAGGAAGAGGAGCGAGACTCTGAGAAGGTAAGGATTCCCACCAGGTCTTTTTTTTTTTTTTTTTTTTTTTATCCTCACCCGAGGATTTTTCCATTTTTAGTTCAGGTAGAGTGGGAGGGAGCGAGAGGAACAGAGAGAGAGAGAGAAACATCGATGTGAAAGGAACACATCGAGTGGCTGCCACCCGCACAACCGACCAGGGCCGGGGACAAACTGCAACCGAGGTACATGCCCTTAGCGGGAACCGAACCCGGGTCTCTCAGGACCGCAGGCCGACGCTCTAACCGCTGAGCCAAACCGGCCAGGGCCCCACCAGGTCTTTTTATGGGGGTGGGCTGTGTACCTACGCTGAGGGCTGTTGGAAAGACCAGGTTCAGGGGAGAAGGATGGTTACCAGTGGGGCCGTCATCCTTCTGATGGTGGTCTCCTGTTGGTGTGCTTATGAGGTCCTGGTTTTCATGACAGCTTTTTTGAGTTATAACTCATACCATAAAGCACACCCTTTGAAGTGAACTGTTCATGGTACTGGTTGATAGTATAGTCTCAGAATTATGCAGTCATCTGCCTAATTCCGGAACGTTTTGTAATCCCCCTTCACCTGAAAAAAAACTTGTCCCCATCAGTAGTCTCTCTCTCCCTTCCCCCTTCCTCCTCCTCTCTCTCTCCCCCCCATCCCCTCTCTCACATACACACACACACACACCCTGACAACCACGAATCTACTTCCTGTCTCTGGATTTGCTTGTTCTTGACATAAATGAAATCACATACTATGTGACCTTTCTATCTGGCTTCTTTCACTGAACATCATGTTTTCAAGGTCCATTGACATTGTGTCAGTGCTTTACTTCTTTTAATGGCTGAGTAATGTTTCAGTGTGTGGATGGACACATTGTGTTTATCCTTTCATCTGCTGAAATACTTTTGGGGTTGTTTCCACTTCTTGGCTGTTGTGAATCCTTTGGCTATAAATGTGTGTGTGTAGATTTCTGTGTGGACATAGATTTTCATCTCTTGGGTGTATTCTGAGGAGTTTCCTAGTGGCTAGGCTATCATGTGAGAATTCTTGCTCTTTTTCCTTATGTGTTTTCACCCAAGTACATAGCAGCTGTCCAGCAATGAGTTTTTATCTCAGCCAGACTGGGCCTCATCCATTCCCCATGGACCCTGTGAGATTGCTGGCCTATCCACCATGACATGTGATGCTTACCTGGGTACAATTCATCCCTGTGTCTTCAGCCATGGGACATGAAGGGTGGGCATTGCCGGAGAAGTTTGGGGTTGATCCTGACCTATCCTCTGGCTTCAGAAACCTTCTAAGCATAAGAAGAAGAAGCATAAGAAGGAGAAGGAGGAGAAACCCCAAGAGAAGAAGAAATCCAAGAAGAAGCTTACTGCGAATGATGGGGTGGCAGAGCTCCTAGAGAACGGCGCTCTAGATGAGCCTCTCCCGGTGAGGGGGTGCTTCACTTGCCTCCTGCTGGCCATGGTCTCGACTTAGGGAGACTGAGCCAAGTCTAGGAGCCAGCTTTGGCAGGCATTAGGGCCTTAGGCGATGGGCTGGTGGCCCCTGGGACCTGACTATGGACACTTGGGGCAAGGGAGGGGCATCTCTCTTGCCCTACTGGTGTCAAAATCTCCTGGGCATAAACTTGTGTTGTCGGGGGGGGGGGGGGGTTCTTCTTGCAGTCCTAGTATTTCAACCTAGAGCACTTGGCAGCTTCCGACAGTCTTTTATTTTTATTTTTTGGTACGTGCCCCTATCGGGAACCAAATCCAGGACTCTCTGGTCCACAGGCCGACGCTCCAACCACTGAGCCAAACCGGCCAGGGCACGACAGTCCTTGTTTTGTGAGTGGGTGCTTTGAGGCTCCGGTGACCCAAAGCTGAATCATTTCCTTTGTTCCCAGCCCATGTCCAGCTACTCCCTCCTGGCTGAGAATTCCTACGTTAAAATGGTGAGCAATGCAGCATTTCAGAATCACTGGCAGGTAGCTTGGGAACCCTGTGTATGAGAGGGGGAGGTGGCTGCGCCATGGGGGCACACATGACTCCCACTGTGCATCCCCCATTGGCAGCCTCTCCAGGGAAGGAACCCCACTCCACATTTATGACAGCAAGGCCTGTTCATCGTGGGCTTGGCCAGGAATAGACTGGATGGCAAACTGTTCTTGAAGAAAGGACAGGAATAGCTAAATAATGCAGACAAAACAAGTTTTCAGTGAGGCTGGGAAGCATTCCTTTGCACTTTTCCGAGCTAATAGAACACGTGTTGCATTCCCTTGGGTCCTGTGCCAGCTCAAAATGGGTCCCATGGGCTCCTACCACAACCATTGACCCCAGCTTTGCTCTGCAGACATATGACATCCAGGGCAGCTTGCAGAAGGACAGCCAGGTCACTGTGTTCATTGTACTGGAGAACCAGAGCAGCAGCTTCCTGAAGAGCATGGAGCTCAATGTGCTGGACTCACTCAACACCAAATTGGCCCGGCCAGAGGGCTCCTCTGTCCATGACGGTGTCCCCGTGCCTTTCCATCTGCCCCCAGGTGAGCAGTGGCTGATGTCTAGGGCTCAATGGAGGCCAGGTGTTCTCTCAGGTTTGAGCTCCTCCTTATCACACCTCCTTTCTTCAGTCCTAGGGGCGCCCACTCACCGCTTTCGGGGGGCTGGCTAGGCCCCTCCTGGGCCTGCCTTGTGCTGCTTCTCAGGACAGCCTGCCCCCCCCTTCCTTCTCTGTCCCCACCCTTTCCCACTCTCTTTCCGTCCCCCCTCCCCCTTCCACCAGGCATCTCCAACGAAGCTCAGTTTGTGTTCACCATTCAGAGCATCATCATGGCCCAGAAACTCAAGGGGACCTTGTCCTTTATTGCTAAGGTATGTAGGACCTGAAGCAGTGGAAGGGCCTTTAGTAACCCCTGCACTACTCTGAGGACACCCAGAACCCAGGGCTGGATGTCCAGAGAGCTAGTGAGGCCCTGAATGGGAGCCACCTGGCTACACCTGAGTTCAAAGGGCCAGCCTGCATTCCTCACTCACCCTGCTCTGGAGCTCTCAGGCACATCCCCACATCCCACTGAACCTCTGCCTGAACTCACAAGCCTGGCCCCCACTCCCTACTCACACAGTCCCTCCTCCCCACTCACTCTGTACCCCCACTCCCCTGCTTCCACAGAATGATGAGGGCTCCACCCATGAGAAGCTGGACTTCAAGTTGCACTTCAGCTGCACCTCGTACTTGATCACAACTCCCTGCTACAGGTACATGAGCCTGCCTGCCTTCCCTTCCCACGTTCACCCCCCGAGTCCCATGGGGCAGCCACAGTAGGCCCACCACACTTTACTGCTGTGTAAGGCTCTCTCTGTGCAGTAACCTCAGAAAGTCCTCTGACCTAAGGTGTGAAAGAGCACAAGTGTTGGGCGACCAGCTTGTATGTAGTGCAGAAAGTTCGGCTGTTCTGCTTTCGGCAGCTCAGGCCACATAGCAAACACCACAAGCCAAGCAGCTCAAACAGCAGACATTGGTTCTCTCAGCCTTGGGAGCTGGAATCCAAAGTCAAGGTGTTGTCAGGGATGGTTTCTCCTGAGGCCTGTGTCTTTGGCATGTAGATGCTGTTTTCTCTGTGTCCTTACATGGTCGTCCCTCTGTCCTGATCTTTGTTTATAAGGACCCAGTTATGTTGGATTGGGGCCCACCCAAATGACCTTAAGTACCCCTTCAAAGACCCACATCTCTCAATGTAATAACATTCTGAAGTCCTGGGGTTCGGGACTTCAACATGTGAATTTTGGAGGCACAGTTTAGCCCATGACATCTTTTTTTAAAATTGATTTTAGAGAGAGGAAGGCAGAGGGAGAGATAGAAATATCAATGAGAGAGAACATTGACTGGCTGTCTCCTGCATGCCCCCCACTGGGGATTGGGCCCACAACCTGGGCATGTGCCCTGACCGGGAATCAAACCGGCAACCTCTTGGTGCATGGGTCAATGCTCAACCACTGAGCCACACCAGCCAGGCATCTTATGACATTTTATAAGGTGCTTGGAGAAGTTATATGTATACAGGAGGGGTCCCACCCCTAGAGTTGGGGGCTTTGTCTGCCTTGATGCTGGGGGTCTGCCTGTTGTTAGACTCCCTGTCCTATGTCTTTCCCACAGTGACGCCTTTGCCAAGTTGCTGGAGTCTGGGGACCTGAGCATGAGCTCAATCAAGGTTGATGGCATTAATATGTCCTTCCAGAACCTTTTGACAAAGATCTGTTTTCATCACCATTTTTCTGGTAAGGGATTTGATGGGACTGGGAGGTGGCACAGCCTTTGCTCACAAGTGGCCACATGGGCCTTACCCACTTGCTTTGTTGCAGTTGTGGAGCGAGTGGACTCTTGTGCCTCCCTGTACAGCCGATCCATCCAGGGTCACCATGTCTGCCTGCTGGTGAAGAAGGTGAGCCTGCATGAAGGCAGCTTTTCTCATCACTGACCACCATGCCCCTCACACCATGTCTCCTACCTCTAGTCCCTGCAGATTATCCTATGTAACACATGGCTGAATTTCAGTCTGTGACTGCTCTACTGAGGTCTGTGAAGCCAGTGTTCGTGAGGACAGTTGGCCTTGCATTTTCTGTCTGGTTTGGGCATGAGGACACCCATGGCCTCATTTCCTGGAAGAGGTTGTATTTCTTCGGTACACGTGTTGCAGAATCCACCAGGGACACCATTCAGGCTTGGAGGTTTCTTTTTTGGGGAGATTTTTACCTGCACATTCACTTTCTTTAATAGTCATGGGATCCGCGATGTTTCTATTTCCCCTCAGGTGAATGTTGATAGTTTGTGGTTTTCAAGGATTTAGTTTGCTTCACCTAAAGTTACTAAATTGATGTGGGCTGTCATTTGTGCTTCTCCTGTTGTTCTTGGCATGTCCAAGTGGTCAGTAGTGATAACATTCCTTACTTCCTGATGTTAGTAGTTTGTGTCTCCTCTCATTTTTTTTGGTTATCCTAGAGTTTATCAATTTTATTTCTTTATATTTTATTTTGCAATCAAGCTTTTTTTTTTTCTCTCTTCCTTTATTGATTTTAGAGACAGGGAGGGAGAGATGTAGGAACATCGATGAGAGAGAACATCAACTGGCTGCCTTCTGCATGCCCTCCACTGGGAAATTGGCCCACAACCTGTGCATGTGCCCTGACCGGGAACAGAACCAGCGACCTCTTGGTGCATCAGATAGAGTGGGAGCGAGGGAGAGGAAGAGAGAGAGAGAGAAACATCGACGTGAAAGGGGCACATTGAGTGGCTGCCACCCGCACGACCCAACCAGGGCCGGGGACAAACTGCAACCAAGGTACATGCTCTTAGCAGGAACCGAACCCGGGTCTCTTTGGACCACAGGCCCATGCTCCAACCGCTGAGCCAAACAGGCCAGGGCTCAATCAAGCTTTTAATGAAAAGATCATAAAATAATAGTTCTTCATTACTGTACATTAAGACTCCACACTTCTGAATGGAGATACCAGTTGTCGGTGAATTGCTTCTCTTTTTCTTTCTTTTTTTTTTTTTTTAATCCTCACCCAAGGACATTTTTCCATTTTTTGTTCAGACAGAGTGGGAGGGAGAGAGAGAGAGAGAGAGAAACATCGATGTGAAAGGTACACATCGAGTGGCTGCTACCTGCAAGACTAACCAGGGCCGGGGACAAACTACAAACGAGGTACGTGCCTTTAGCGGGAACCGAACTCGGGTCTCTCTGGACCGCAGACCGACGTTCTAACCACCGAACCAGACAGGCCAGGGCTGAATTGCTTTTCTGTGACTCTTGAGGGCCTGTTTACTTACAGCTCTGACCTGAATTTATCCAAACACTTTTAATTTTATTCATCTTTTCAGAGATCAGTATAAAAACTTTGGGTGGAATGTGGGCCCCTCACTACCCTGTTGTCCCTTGACCCTCCCTCTGTGAGCAGTTGTCACATTGCACTTGCAGGCATCAAAGATGCCATTGTGTCACATTACACTTTGTTTTTTCAGTCCTTAACAAATTTCAGAGAACTAGGAAGCACAAATTGTTTCATTCGGCCATGTTTACCATTTTTATTGCTTTCTTTTTTTTTTTTTTCTTTTAATCCAAGGACATTTTTGCATTTATCTTCAGATAGAGGAGGGAGAGAGGGAGGGGGGAGAGAGAGAGAGAGAGAGAGAAACATTGATGTGAGAGAGACTTATTGAGTGGTTGACACCCACATGACCCCAACCGGGGCTGGGGAAAAACTGCAACCGAGGTACATGCCCTTAGTGGGAACCGAACCCGGAACTCTCCAGTCCACGGGCCAATGCTCTTAACCACTGAGCCAAACTGGCCAGGGCTTTTTTGCTCTTTCATTCCTAACGTTCATGTCTTCTTCTGGTTCAGTCCCTTCTGTCTGAAGAACTTTATTTAGCAATTATTTTAGGACAGGTCTGTTGGCTATAGATTTTCTCAGTTGTCCTTCATCTGGTTATTCTTTATTTCATCAGTGCTACTTTTGCTGTATATACATTTCTGGCTTTGCTAATCTTTTCTCTTGGTACATTGCTCCTGAGTTTATAATGGATTTTATCCTGAAAAACCCATCATAAGTCGAAAATTCATTTGAGGCCCTGGCTAGGTAACTCAGAGTGTCATCCCAACATACCAAGATTTCAGGTTCAGTCCCTGGTCGAGTGGCTCGGTTGGGCGTCATCCCATGCACCAAAAGGTTGCTGGTTTGATTCCAGGTCAGGGCCCATGCCCATATTGCAGGCTTAATCCCTAGTAGGGGGCTTGGCAGTCTGTTAATGTTCTGTTTTCACATTGATGTTTCTCTCTCCCTTCCTCTCTCTCTAAAAAATCAATATAAATACTTTTTAATCAACCAATGAATGCATAAATAAGTGAAACAACAAATCAGTTTTTCTCTTCCCTCTCTAAAAGAAAATAGTAAGTTTAAAAAAAAAATAATGCGCCCTGGCCGGTTTGGCTCAGCGGTTAGAGCGTCGGCCTGCGGTCCTGAGAGACCCGGGTTCGGTTCCCGCTAAGGGCGCGTACCTCGGTTGCAGTTTGTCGTGTGAGTGGCAGCCACTCGACGTGTCCCTTTCACGTCGATGTTTCTCTCTCTCTCTCTCCCTCCCACACTCTATCTGAACAAAAAAAATGGAAAAAATGTCCTCGGGTGAGGATTAAAAAAAAAAAAAATTAATAATGCATTTGATACACCTAACCCACCAAAAATCAGAACTTCGCCCAGCTTGCCTTAAAGGTGCACAGATCTTGCCCTGGCAGGTGTTACTCAGTGGTTAGAGTGTCGGCCTGCATTCCGAAGGGTCTTGGGTATGATTCCCAATCCAGAGCAAATACCTGAATTGCAGTTTGAATCCCTGGCCCCGTCAGGGCACGAGCATGAGGAAACCGATCAATGTGTCTGTCTCACATCAATGTCCCCCACCCCTCTTCCCTCCCTCTCTCCCTTCCACTCTTTTTTTTTTTTTTTTTTTATCCTCACCCGAGGACATTTTTCCATTTTTTGTTCAGGTAGAGTGGGAGGGAGAGAGAGGAACAGAGAGAGAGAGAAACATCGATGTGAAAGGAACACATCAAGTGGCTGCCACCCGCACAACCCAACCAGGGCCGGGGACAAACTGCAACCGAGGTACGTGCCCTTAGCGGGAACCGAACCCGGGTCTCTCAGGACCGCAGGCCGACGCTCTAACCGCTGAGCCAAACCGGCCAGGGCCCTTCCACTCTCTTTAAAGAAAAAAAGAAATCTATGGAGCCTGGCCAGTGTGGTTCAGTGAATTGAACATTGTCCCATAGACTGAGAGGTCCTGGTTCAATTCCCAGTCAGGGCACATGCCTGAGTTATGGGCTCAACCCCCAATACGGGGTTTGCAGAAGGCAGCCGATCAATATTCATTGATATTTCTGTCTCTCTCTTTCCCTTCCTCTGTTGGGGGGGGGGGGATTAAAAATTTTTAATCTAGGATTTTTAATCCTCAGGTGAGGATTAACAAGAACAAAGGGTGTGCAGAACACAAGATTCAAAAAAACAGCTGCATCCAACACAGCACACTGTGGAGTATATGTTGCATACCATCATGATCATGAGGCCAGTAGGTGCACCTAGCATCACGAGAGAGGTTGTACCACATATCACTAGCACGGAAGAGATCCAAATTCAAATTTATTTATTTTTTTATTGATTTTAGAGAGAAAGGAAGGGAGAGGGAGAGAGAGGGAGAAACATCAATGAGATTGGCCACCTCCTGCATGTCTCCCACTGGGGATGTAGCTCACACTGGGCATGTCCCCTGACCGGGAATTGAAGTGGCGACCTCTTGGTACATGGGTTGACATTCATACTGCTGAGCCACACCAGCCGGGCACCAAATTTAAAATTTGACATTGGGTTTCTACTCAATACAAGTTGTTTTCACACTGTCTTCAAGTCAAAAAGTCAGAGACTGGCTATACTTTAAAAATATGCTATTTCCACTTGGAATCCATGGTTTCTGATTAGATGAGAAGTCTGCATTCCTGTGCACTTTTATTCTTGTTAATGGAAATGCAAGTTTTTCTCTGGCTGTTCTCAGATATTTGTCTTCAGTTTCCAGCAGATTATGATGTTTCTGGGCATTAAATTCTTTGAGTTTGCCCTGGCTGGTTTTGCTCAGCGATTAGAGCATCAGCCTGCGGTCCAGAGAGACCCGGGTTCGGTTCCCACTAAGGGCATGTACCTTGGTTGCAGTTTGTCCCCAGCCCTGGTTGGGTCATGCGGGAGGCAGCCACTCAATGTGCCCCTTTCACGTCGATGATTCTCTCTCTCCCTCCCTCCCACTCTATCTGAACAAAAAATGGAAAAATGTCCTCAGGTGAGGATTAAAAAAAAAATTATTTGAGTATCTGTTTGGAGTGTGCTGAACTTGGTGAATCTTTGCATATATTTCTTTTGCAAAATTTAGGGAGTTTCTGCTTTTATTAACTATTCTTTCAGCACTGCAGGGGTTTTTTTTGTTTTTGTTTTTCTTTAGAAGAGAGGAAGGGAGAGGGAGAGAGAGATAGAAACATCAGTGAGAGAGAACACTGATTGGCCATCTCTTGCATGCCCCTGCACTGGGGATTGGGCCCACAATGTGGGCATGTGCCCTGACTGGGTATCGAACCAGCGACCTCTTGGTGCATGGGTCGACGATCAACCACTGAACTACACCAGTCGGGCTCAGCACTGCATTTTTTATTCTGTCCTTCTGCGAGCCTAAAGACCTGAACCCAGACTTTCTGTTGCCGTTTTTTTGAGTCTTTGAGGCTCTGTACACCCTGCTCTGCCCCAGCCCCTTGTGCTGTCTGCTCAGACTAGAATATTTCTAGTAATCTGCTGTCAACCTGACTGACTCTTGGCTTCTGTTGTGTCTTTATATTTTCCATTTCTTTGCTGAGGTGCTGTTTTCTCTTTGTTTCAAGAGTTGTGATTGTTTCTGGGAGATTCTTATAACAACTGCTTCACCACCTTTGTCAGATTAGTCTTACATCTGCTTCATCTCAATGTGGGTGTGTATCAATTGTCTTTCCCAGGGAACTGAGTTGTCCTGGTCTTTGTATGCTGAGTAATTTGGGACTGTATCCTGGACATTTTGAATATGCCAAGACTCTGGGCCTTAAGTCTCAGGGAGAATGTTGACGCATAGGCTTCAGCTGCAGGACTCCTGGTTCCATTGCTCATTAGTTTCCACAGCCTTTGTCCTCCAAAGTGCGGAGCTGCCTTGCATGCCCTGTGTGTGGGGCCAGGGCTGGGTGGCGCTCTGTGTTCTCAGCATTGGTGTGTTGGCTCATCAGGGCGAGAGCCACTTGTGCTCAGCCTCAAGCAGACCTTCAATTCACAAAATTTTAGAGGTCACTTTGCCTGAGTTCCTCCCCAGAACTGTCCAGACTCTGGGTGCTCTTCTTGAGGTTCCTTACCATAAAGTAGTCACTCTACTCTGTCAAGCTCTCCCCAGCCACTTCCAGGTTCTGGGTCCAGGTTCCACAGCTCCTCATGGGAGATGTGGTTGTACATGCTTATGTCATCTACCTGGGACCCTCCTCTGTTCATATTTTTAAAGCACCCATACATAGGACTGCATTTGGGAAAAAATCAAAAGTACAATACATGTAGTTGTGAGGCAGGATTTTCATGTAGTTTTCAACATACTGCACGGTGTTTTCCCTTTTTCAGGGTGAGAAGTCTGTATCGGTAGATGGGAAGTGCAGCGATGCTACATTGCTCAGCAACCTGCTGGAGGAGATGAAGGCAACACTGGCCAAGTGCTGACTGTTGTTGCCAAGGCCACCACGGAGAGGACGTGAAGGAGAGACACATTCCAAGTGCTAGTTTCTCCTCTGTCGCATGTGCTCATTCAGCCCTGCATTAATTTAAGTCCACTGTCATCACCGGTTAGACCTTGAGGTCATATGTTCATTGATGTCTCCTGTCATTTTTTTTTACTTTGACTCTTTCCACTCTCTTTGGGGAGAAACCCCGTTCTAGTCTCCAAACCATCAGTGACTCCTATAGCCGGGGCCAACTACACATGGCCGCAGGAGCTGCCCAAGGAGTGAGCGTGACCACGGTCCAAGCCAGGACCTAGTGGGTCCAGGTGATGGGTGTTCAGCAGACAGGGCAGGGGGCACATCCAGTCCCACAGTCCTCAAGTTTCCATTTGGAGGGTGAAAAATGGGCTGGCTACTCACCACAGTGACATTCCCCTTTATCCCTGGTCAGTCAGTTCTCTCTCCCCAGGACACATGGTGGGGAAAGGGTCATGCAGGCTATTGTCCATTGCATTCTGTGTCCCACTGCTGTGCTTGTGTGCCAGGTAAATAACAGCAGTGAACTCTAAGGCACAGGGGGCTGCCCTAAGGGTAGGGATTCATTTGGGATCCTTAACAGAGCAGAGACTGGACATTGTTGGTTTTCATTGTTTCCTTTTCAGTAGAATATGTCTTGGTTGACATTGCTTGGGGTGAGCCACAGGGTTTGCCCTCCCATCAAGCCTACAGCTGCCGGGAGGGCCTAGTCCTGGGTTCCATGGCCCTGATGGTGAAACACATGCGTCCTGGGGAGGCTGAGTCCCTTAATGCGCCTCATAGGCAGGGCAAGATAACTCTGGCCCACCCTGGTAAGACTTTCCTCAGAGATGATGGTCCTCAATGATGTTTTAACTATCTTTTTGATGAAAACTGTCACTTTAGCATGTAATCTATTGCGGAATCTAGTGCAGTGATTCTAGAATCTCGAAATTGTATGATGTGTTATATAAGAATTTGCTATCAACATTCCCGTGTAAAGGAGACATATCACGCTGCTGTCATGATTTTGTGTCAAGATGATCCAATAAACTTGCAAAACAGATGTTTATATGTTGGGGGGCTGTCACACCACATTCTGGTGGGGGGGGGGCTGTGGGACAGCCTCATGGAGGTCACAGTATGCTGGAAAGTTCTGTCCCCCACCTTGCACCCTTCATCCTCTCAGGAGGTGACATGATCCCTGCATACCATCCATAGGGTCCAACAGACTGGCCATCACCCTCCCATTCCCAGGAACCACACTGCTAATAGGTGTGCTGGTGACTGAGGGTGAGTGGTGGGAGCAGATACTGAAAGGAAGGCCCTGCTGCTGTTAATACACCACATTGCTACTGGTTTTCCTGACACCGCATGAATAGGGGTAACTCAACCTGGTCAGGCTGTGTCAATGGTTAGAAAGCCCAAATCAACCCTAATTTGAATTCCCAAGTGTGGGAGGGTGTGAAGGCACAGACCAGCCCCATGCTAAACCCGGTTTGGAGCACAAATAAGGAAAAGGCCTCAGCAGCCCTGCCTTCTACCACCTTCAGCCAGCAGGCTCCTCCCACTTCTCAGTGGGAAAATATGCATCATGCAGCACACCATCCCTTGATGGGCCCTCCTGCTGGGAAAGCCAAAGGCCAAGGCTGCAGACACAGCAGTGACAGAGTGACCAGGATCCTATCCTGCTGATAAGCCAGCCCCGTTCCTGGCACACTGCTGTGCTTGTTGAAGACATCCCATGACTCCACTATTTAACGGAGTCTCTCATGCTGTTTTATTTTTATCCTCACCCAAGGACATTTTTGCATGTATCTTCAGATAGAGAGGAAGGGAGAGAGACATCGAGTGGTTGCCACCCACATGACCCCAACCGAGGCCGGGGAGGTATGTGCCCTTAGCAGGAACCGAACCCGTGTCTCTGGTCTGCGGGGTGATGCTCTAACAGCTGAGCAAAACTGGCCAGGGCTCCTGTTTTGTTTAAATCCCGCCAAATAAACAGTCAAGTGAAAACTTCGCTAGCATTTTATTAGGTAAACTAAAGTAGGAAGGCATGCAGGGTGTATGGGGGTCCTCAGTAGCAATGACTCTCTCCACTACCACCCCCAGCCCCCACTCCCAAGCAAGGATAAGGGATCTGGAGGAAGGTACCTTGGGACAGCACTTCCAAGCCTCCCTCCCATCTTAGAACAGCCAACCAGCCTGGATCAGAACCCACCCACTTCGAGTGTTTTCAGAAGCAGTACTGTAGGGTTCCTTGGGCTGAGGTTCAACCTCACATGAGCTAGTGACCTGAGCCCCAGGTTACACTGAAGCTAGCCCTATTTCACCAGACTGCATCTCACTTTGAGTCACCAGAACCATCTTGCTCCCAGGTTCTTTTCCAGGTGAGCCTGTCCAGGTACGCTCAGGTAAATCAGTCAAATTGGTGTGGGGACCCCGGTCCTGTGCCCGTGACCAGATGTGCCTTGCCCAGGGATCTAGCCCATTGCGCCACATGGTTCTCCCTGCCCCCACAGGGACTGCACCATGATGAGAAGTGTCAGACATTTAATCATCCATAATACAACTCTGTGATCCCACCTAGCATCTGCAATATACAGGCCATCTCCCTTCCCCTCCTCCTGGCCCTGGCACTATCTGGGCTCCGATGGGGTTGTATGGGGACCCCAAAGAGCAGCAAGCCTGCTTCACAGGGTTAGGATGGGACAGTCCAGCTGAGTCCTGGCCCCACATTACAGCTTGGATGGGCCCAGTGGGCCTGACGGCCATCAGTGCTATGTCAGGCACTCAGGCATTTTCCAGGGTTAGGTTGGCAAGGTGTGGGGGCTCTAGACCAGTGAAACTTGGTGATATCAGGCTGCAGAGAAACACAGGTGCCTCAGTACTTCCTCTCTCCTCCCCATGTGCTCCTAACTGCTGGGTGTTTGCTGGGGGCCTGGGCCTCTCTTCTCATCTATGGCATGTGACAGGGTTGCAGACCCTCAAAGCTAAACTCAGGAGGCCCTGCCTGTTTTCTTTTCCCCACCCAACTCCCATGACTAGGGAGGGCTGCAAAAGTTTGTGGGTGGGTCTATGATAAATTGGCTTCTGGGTTTTGATCTTGAACTTAGGCACAACCCCTGCCCCTGGAGCTGCCATTTGCACCCCCTCCTCCTGCCCCCAGCCCTGCAGATTCCTCCCTCTGGGTGACTCATAAGGCTGGAGTGGTTTGGGGCATCCAAGTGGTGAAGAGGAGGACGTGTTCATTTATAAAGTGATCATAACGGATACAGTCGCACAGGTGATATCTGGCATGGCCCTGGTGCAGAAAGCCCTGCTTGGCTGTGTGGGCTCTGTCGAACACCCCCATCCATCTGCTACCACTAACCTGGAGAACCTCACACTACCCTATTCTTCCTCCCCACACCCCTCCAGGCCAGGGCTATGGAGAAGAGAGGCAGGGCAAGGGAGGGAATCTCATCTTGTATTGGTGCCCTGTCTAAAACACATTATGGGTCCCTGGTTAGCCCTGAGTTTAGGGCCCAGGCCCCCCCAACTAGGGCGCATCCATCATGGGAAGCTCTCCTAGATTCTGACATACACTCAGGGCAGGGGTAAGACCAGACCCTTTGTGGAGGGACCCTTCAACCAGGATGATCTGACCCCCTTGTGCCAGCTGAGCTGAGACCCTTGAGGGAGGAAGAGACTGGGGTCCCAAGCACAGGGGCCCAGTACTGCTTCCTGGTAGCTATCCTCACACATACCCTACCACCTCTGATAAAACCCACTTTGGATTTGGTGAGGGGGCACTCATTTGTGCCAATTATTTCTACAACTCACATGTAAAGGAGGAGGCCCTGCATAGCTGTCTTCCACTGCACCAACAACTTGTGGGGACACGGAGTATGGAGCCAGTGTGGCTCTGAGTTCAGAGGGCCAGCTGTGTCCACCTCATCCAACGCAGGTGATGAAAGGTAGGCAGGAAGCGGAGGAGAGGCCCCCTGGGGAGAGCTTTGGACCCCATGGATAGTAGGACCCTCAGCACACCATTTTGCCTGAGCCCTACTCACAGTGGTAGCCAAAGCACACAACGTGCAAGTCAGTGCAGTTGCTACAGAAGATGGTATCGTATTGGAAGATACCTGAAACACATGAGAGGTGACTGGGGGTTCCCATCAGCCTCCAGGCCCCTGAGCTGCTGCCCCCACACGCCAGGGTCTGGACAGAGGCTCGCTCACTACAGTGATGCTGACAATCAATGCAACCTGTGTGGGGACAAGAGCATGGATGTCACCTTATCAGGTCATCTGTCCCCACTCCAGCACACCCTCTCAGGTCTGCCAAAGGCATAGATCTATCTGTCAGTCACTTGGAGTGGCGCCTAACCTGAAATGGAGTGACCATTGGGTAGGCTGGCAGCAATACTCACAGTGCCTCTAGAGACTGGTTGGGGAAGGTGGCAGGGAGGTAGGGGTGGGATTTATCTTTCAAGGGGCCCTGCTGGTGCCCACGGGATGAATGGGTCCCTTCCTCAGGGAGATGCCCTAGTTCCCAATTTCTGTCCAGTCCCATGCTGGCTGCAGGCTCTGAGTTCAAATGCGGGGCTACACTGAGACCCTATCCATATCACTCCTGGCTCCCAGCCCCCAGCCTATAAGGGGACTCTGAAATACTCCTGTGGCCCTGGGTTCCCGAGGTCCTGAGCAGCATGCCCCTCCCTCAACCCTCACTGGTTCACTTTCAATGATGGCATTCTAGAGGAGGTGCACCTGCTCCCAGATGATGGCTCGAAGCTCCTTGGGGAAATACCCTGATGGGGGGAGGCAAGAGGAGGGAAGTCAGGGTTCAAGCAGTGGGCAGACAGGGGTGTCCTGGGGCGGGTGGGCTGCTCCCTTACCCGGGAAATACATCTTCCCTTGGTACAGCTGATCCATCTTCTAGTACACGGCGTTTGCCACTTGGTCTAGCTTTTCCCGGGCTGGGGGTGGAAGGAGGAGGCGGGTGAGTGGCCGGGGTCGGGGGTCTGGCTGGGCTGGGAACGGGCCCGGGTGCGGCACCCGCACTCACTGATCTTCGCGGGGATGGCCAGGCGCAGCTCCTTCATCATGTCCTGGCTCCAGTCAGTGAGCAGCGAGCCCGACTCGGGAATGTCGCCCACCTACCAGGACTTGAGGTTTCACGTGATGGCTGTAGAACTTTGAGAAGTTGCCATGGCAATGCAGGCAACCGCGGGCCAGCGCAGCCTTCAGGCCCAGGCCCAGCAGCAGGGCCATGGCCTGGCCGCGACCGCGACCAACTAACCCACGGCACCTCCCGCGCTGCATCTCCCGCGCCACGCCTCTCCGTCGTGCACCAACTAACGGCGCCCTCCGGTCCCCGCAACGGAAAACCTAAGACGCGGGCTCAGACTCCAGCCCGCGCCCACGAGCCGCCGCTCCCAGAAAGTCTTCATTCCCCAGATCCGCCCAGCGCTCAGACCGCGAGCCTCGTTTGCGCCCAGGGCGCGCACAAGCTTCTCCTTCTAGGCCATCCCCTGCCCGAAGCCCCGCCCCATAGTCCCACTACAGCGGAAGCTCCTCCCACAGGCTTCAGACGCGCGCAAACCAATGGCCGCGGCCAGTCGCCGCGTGCGCCCCCTCTCGGTTTAGACCTCCGCCCACCAGCTCCGCTTCCGGGGAGGCCTCAGTCTGTAGAGGAAGTAGATCCGGCCGGGCGGGGCCGGGCGGGGCCGGGGCGGGCACTGGTCGGAGTTCCTCCTCGGCGGGAGTCTAGGTCCGGGCTAGCGGGCGGCCGGGGTCGGAAGTTAGCGGACGGAGGCGAGCGCAGCCCTGCTCATCGGCGTGAGGTGGCAGGTGGGTCCTCCGAGGTGCGAACGCGAGTGGCGGGAATTCTGGCCCTTCGGGAGGGGCGAACGCGGGCGCCGCGAAGGGAGTAGTCGTGGTCTCTCGGTCGCATTCGTGGCTACAGGTGTCACTTGGGGATCAATCACGAGCCGTGTCACTAACTATCGCTGGGCCCTGGCCAATTCCACAGGATTTCAGGGCTCCCAAATCACGGGAAGTCGGCCTTTTAGACGCGCACTGGGCAAGGGCTGGGCGTGACTCTGCACTGGCTGGTGGGCTGGCATTTCTTTTAAATGACCATGTATTTTATAAAATGTCACTGAAAGGGGAAGGGAGTTGGTTGGAAAATACAGAAAGTGACAAAGCAGAAAATAAATCATGGGTGACCTACCCCCCAGAGAGTCAGTGTTAATTTTGGGGTAAAATTCTTCCGGTCTTTTGAGGTTTAATTGGCATACAATGCACTGCACATATTCAAAGCACACAGTCGGGTAAATTTTGAATATGATGCACATGTATTTTTGCATATTTCACAGCCCAGGGGCCTGTCTGCACTATCTGGTTTTGGACTTGCTGGTGTTACACGTGGCCTCTGGGCAGCTTCTTTCTCACCCCTCCCTTCACCCAACATAAAGGGAGCTCTTATCAGCCCATTTTACAGACTCAGTGCTGAGTGATGCTGGGGAGCTGCAGACTCCCAAAAGCCCTGAGCCCTGTTCATATCCCACCCCCTACCACCCCACCACCACCACCACCCTACATCTTAAGGAATGAATGATTTCCCCCCCCACACGTGTTTGGGGTAGCCTGTGTGGGTCTGTTATCAGAACTCATTGAGGGAGTGTGTGTACTGAATGGAGTGAGAACACAGCAAGTGAAAGTCCTGGTTGCCCTGCCCCCCCCCCCCATGCCCCAGGACACGGTGATTCTCTCCTTCCTCCTAGAAGGCACCTATTGTTTCTTCACCCCAATCCTGCTCTGATGGCTGTCTTTCTCCTCCCTGGGGTCCAAATTGACACCCACCTCAGACAACAACTGTCCCACTGCTCCTGTCTTCTGACAGGTGGGTATCCCCACTTTTAAAATTCTCTGGAGCTGAGCTGTCCAGGGAAGCAGCCACTGACTACATGTGGCCAGTAAACCCTTGAAACATGACTGGATTAAATTAGGACCTGTTATAATACGTGCAAAATGAACACCAGATCACAGAGACTCATGTATTTTAAAAAGGCAGAATATCTCCTTAATATTTTCTATATTCCTTAGGTGTTGAAATGATATTTTGTTGCCCTTGGGTTAAATAGAATATATTATTACTACTGATTTTACCCGTTTCTTTTCATTTTCTTATTTTTCAGTGTAGATACTGGAAAATTTGAAATTAAGCATGGGTGCACATTATATTTTTAGTGTCTTCCATGGTGTTTATTTTTTCTGCAAATACATGTTCAACTCTTGCTCTCCTAGGCTTTGTGGTTTTCTGCTTCCTCTTTTTGGCTTTAGTAATTTCTTTTTTTTTTTCCTTTTTATTGACTTTAGAGAGAGAGTGAGAAACATCGATGAGAGAGAACATCAGTTGGCCGCCTCCTACATGCCCCCCACTGGGGATTGGGCCCAGAACCCTGGGCATGTGCCCTGACCTGGAATCAAACTAGCGACCTCTTGGTGCACAGGTCAACGCTCAACCAATGAGCCACACCAGCCGGGCGGCTTTAGTAATTTATTCAAAGGAGTGATCTACTTAAAGGATTTAGCCAATTGCTTGGTGTTTTGTATTTGGTGAATTAGTGTTAGCTATAATTTTTTTTTTTATCATCCCCCGGGGACATTTCTGCATTTATCTTGAGATAGAGCGGAAGGGAGAGAGGGAGGAAGAGAGAGAGAGAAACATCAAGTGGTTGCCACCCACATGACCCCAGCCTGGGACTGGGGACAAACCATAACCAAGGTATGAGCCCTTAGTGGGAACTGAATCCGGGCCTCTCTGGTCCACGTGCCGATGCTCTAACCACTGAGCAAAACCAGCCAGGGAAGTTGTAATTTTTTAATAGACTACTTTTTAGAGCAGTTTTGGGTTTATGGCATAACTGAGCAGAAGGCACAGAGATTTCCCATTACCTTCTACCCCCACATATGCACAGCCTCTCACACTGTCAACCTCCCCAACTAGAGCAGGACATTTGTTACAAGGATGAACCTACACTGATTCATCACTATTACTCCAAGTCCATGGTTAACATAAGGGTTTATTCACTCTTTGTGTTGTACATTCTGTGGGTTGGGACAAATGTATAGTGACATGTGTCCACCATGACTATGTTATACAGAGTAGGTCACTGCCATAAAAATCCTCTGTGTTCTGCCTATTCATCCCTCTCTCCCCCAACCCCTGGCACCCACTGAACCTTTTGATGTCTGTATAGCCTTTTCCAGAATGTCCTAGAGTTGTAATCACAGTGTCACCTTCTCAGACAGTATTCTTTCTCTTAGTTAGTCTCCCTAAAGGAGAGAGTGTCTGTATCATCTTTGCATCTCCTACAAAGTTGAGCTTAGTGTTCTCCATGTACAAGGATGACTGTCATCAGCTGAAGTCTAAGTTCTCTCTCTCAGCAAAAGTTATATCTTCGTCCCTCAGGGGATTTGTGGAAGTGCTAGTTCGGTTCCTGAACTTTTTTATTTTTAATCCTCACCAGAGGATATTTTTCTGTTTATCATCAGATAGAGTGGGAAAGAGAGAGGGAGAGGGGGGAGAGAGAGAGTAACATCGATGTGAGAGGGACACATCGACTGATTGCCTCCCGCATAAGTCCAACCAGTGCCAGAGACGAACAGCAACCCAGGTACATGCCCTTGACTGGAACCAAACCTGCGACTCATTGATCTGCGGGGCTATGCTCTAACCACTGAGCAACCAGCCAGGGCCTTTCCTGAACTTTTTAAACAATTCATATTCTAACAAGTTGAGGCCAGGCTGTTTCTTTGTGTGTGTGTGGGGGGGGGGGGGATGGGGGGGGGGATACGTGCCCCTAGCAGGAAACGAACCCCGGACTCTCTGGTCCATAGGCCGACGCTCAACCACTAAGCCAAAGTGGCTGGGGCTGGGGCAGGCTGTTTCTTATGTGGAAATCCTCCTGCTCCAAGGCTGAGCTCTTAAGTTCATGGAAAAATCAGCTATTATCTTTTGGGAGTTGTTCTCACATCTCCAGAACCTCATAAACTGGAATTTTAACAAAATCCCCCACCAGCAGCTAGGAAGTTGGGTTTTTACTCTGGGAAGTTCCAGATGTGCCCCAATTGGTGAACTCTTTTTCTGATTTCCTGGAATTTCAAAGTTCAGATAGCTTAAACAGAAAAGGGGAATCTGACTTAAGAAACTGGATTTTGCACTGGCCTGTTTGACTCAGTGATTAGAGTGTCAGCCCTCAGTCTGAAGGGTGTTGGGTTCGATACCCAGTCAAAGGCACATACCTGGGTTGCAGGTTCGATCCTTGGCCCCGGTCGGGGTTGTACAGGAGGCAACCAATTGATGTATCTCTCTCACATCCATGTTTTTCTCTCTCCTTCTTTCCCTTTCATTTTATCTAAAAAAATCAATGGAAAACATCCTTAGCTGAGGATTAGTAAGAGAGAGAGAGAGAGAGAGAGAGAGAGAGAAACTGGATTCTGGGAAGGACAAGGTTATTCCTGCAGCCAAGTCCCAAATAAGACATTTGGGGCTAGTCAAGGTCACTTTGTGGGGGGCTTTACTGGGCACTATGGAGTGTTGAGCAGAATCCCTGGCCCCCCAGACATTGCCTGGGGTCTTGTGGGGGCAGGACCACCCCCGGTGATACCCACAAGTGTAGCTGACTTACTGGGAACTCTTCACAGTCCCCTTGGAGAGAATTGCCACCCTTGAGTGGATGGGCCTGGCCCCCTCAGTGGACAGCTCAGAGCTGTAACTCCTTCCCTCCATTGCCCCCTGCCTCTGAGGTCAGTGCACAGTCAAGTCCATATCTGAGAATCCTGATGTGAAAAGGAAGTGTAGTCCAGCTGGTGTGGCTCAATGGTTGAGCATCGTCCCATGGACCAAGATGGGACTGGTTCGATTCCCGGTCGGGGCCCATGCCCAGGTTGTGGGCCCGAACCCCAGTGGGGGGCATGTAGGAGGCGGCCAATCGATGTTCTCTCTCATTGATGTTTCTGTCTCTCTCTCCCTCTCCCTTCTTTCTCTAAAATCAATAAAGAAGAAAAATAATAAAAGGGTCGAATTTATGGGGTGTGAATTATATCCCAATTGGGCTGGAATCCGTGGAACCCCTCAACAGCAACTGGCCTGGAGCAGCCCCCACAAACCTTACTTCCTGCCTTCCTACAATACATGTTGGAGAACACCACCCACAAAACCATGACCTGAGCACAAAAGGCCAACAAAATGCAAATCCCCACCCTGCAGGATGTCGGGGGCCTTCCTGCACAGGGAGCTATGGTGATATTTTAAAATGCACATTAGGATGGTGGAAGACAGTGCTAGGGCAAGGCTTCTACAATGGGACAGGTACCCTAGGCCTCGAGCACCTTTCAGCTAAATACTTGGGCTGCTGGCCTGAACCTAGGGACTGATCTCCCAGATTGGGGCCTGTCCCTCCACCCCACCCCCACCACCAGGTCAGGGTCGTGTCAGCAGCAAAGACAGGATGTGGAGGCACTGGAAGGAAGTGGTAATGGGCCGGGCTTTGCTGCACCTCTTGAGGCTAAGACCATTGCTTAGAGGAACTGTTTTGTTTTCAGGAAATAAAGGAGGGGTGGGCGTGTATTGGGTCGGGAATTTTGTCATCTTACCTTGTGTCATTCTAGAAGCTTCTAGATGCCACACACATCTCATCTGTGGGGAAAACCAAGGAGCCAGGAAAGCCGTTAGCATTGAATTCTGAGATGATTCTCCCAACCCTCCCCCACGCCAGTGCCCTTGGAGGTGTTCTAAGAATATCAAGAAGAAAGGCGCTGGAGACCATAATGGGGGCAGCAAT